GGCGGTGTACCATGCGGGTTGCTCGAGTTACTTCTCTGAAAGCAGAATGGACCATTGGAGCAACCCCAGGTTGTTGTGGTCTGCTTCGGCAGACCTGCCGTCGGGGCGTCGTGGTTGAGTGCGTAAGCGATCCTGCGACGCCCCATTAAGATGGGGGAGGGTCAGTAGGGTTTTAGTGGGAGGTACTGGCTTTTCTAGTCAGTGAGTCCAACATAACCTCCTGTATATATACAGGTGGTATGCGTAAATGCATTTCCCAACATTAAAAGAAAATATATATTCCCTTCTAATAAATAAACGGCTTGACCGATTCTGATAAGTTATACTACATTAGATTCGTTTTGATAACCAGAGTGTCATAGGATATGGAAATCGTTAACAATGTCAATAGCAAGACTTGTATATTAACTTATATATTACCGACTTCATAATAATATTCCTTCCTCGATTATTTATTCCCATCTTTTTTAAGTCCGCTTTTTACTAAGTCAGGTTTTTTTTGTTTATGGTTTTTATTCTTTTCAATTTACCAATTACCTCCACACGAGTTACAAAGTTACACCATGAGTGTTGACGTTTTACACTTGTATTGTTATATTATGTGAGAAAATCTTACAACTGTCAACTAATTATGTTAAATGGATACCTATTATTATTCTGATAATGCTATATCAAGGCTAGGTACATTGTTATTTGTGCAAACTAACAAACAAACGAAATCAAATCACGAAAATAAACGAATAAACACGACGCAAGCAAGAACTTTTTAATCGACTTCAAAAGAAAAGTATGTATATTTGTTATTTAAATTTCTTGAATTCGCTTTCAGTGAATTTAATCTCGATGATTTCCTTTACAGGTGGAATTTTGTGTTTAGGTAAATTTCTTTTTTACGATGTTTGTCCTTTTACTTGTATGAAAAGTGTGTAACTAAGTATTTTATTATATAAAGAAATAGAACAACGTTAAGTTACATGTATGGTTATTAAGGAAACAATCTGTTTTTCTTAATCCATACTTTTCCTTGTGTTAAATGAGCAGAAATTCCCATCCTGTTTTAATTGAGGACAAAAATTGTTCTTACGTAAGGCTGTAAGGACGTGTTATGTCATAATAATTTATATTTGACTAGCATTGCCCCCGGCTCCGCCCGCGTTCAGATGACCAAAAATTAAATTCTTAGGTTTTACATAATAGTATACTCTTACATTACATTTTTTGTATTTTTTCTCAGAAATGAGATATTTCCCCGCGATAAAAAGTATCCTATATGTGGACACGGATAACCAGCTATCACCATACCAAATTTCATCAAAATCCCTCCAGTGATTTTTCTGTGATGCGGTAACAGACAGACAGACAAAAATTCTAAAAACTATAGATTAATGTTTATTTCAATAAGATTTTCCAAAAAATATCTAATGTACAGATTCGGCTTAGTTACAATTTTATTATATGTATAGATATGCTATATAGCAAAAATTGTCATGGAAGAGTATCTCAGCTAAAAATCAAAATTCAAATTAAAAAAAAAAGGGTGTGCAACGTAAGAAGTTATACTTCTTTGGCGTAACAGAACAAATATAGCTAAAGAATTCATCCCGTATGTCACAACTCTCTGTTTGTAAAAGGAATGCAGCTAACCTCATCATGTCGCTTTTTGGCTGTCGGTGTGCGCGCGCATCGTAAAAATTTCACTCTCATTATTTTTTCCAAACGTGCCAAAAGAAGTATAACTTCAAAAAAAAAAGACGCTTTAATGATGAACGGAACTAAAAAGATTTTTTTTGTATAAGAATAAATAGAGATTAACGAGAAAATTAATGTTATTGTGAAAAAAGGGTGGGGTTCTTTGTACAATATTTTGATACTAAATCTACTTTAAGATATCGTACCAATGGAATATTTATAGCAACTGATATCGTGCAACCCACGATTTTTACACAATAACATAAATTTTTTCGTTAATCACTTTATTCTTATAGATACAAAAAAAATCTTGTTTACTTTTTAGTTCGGTTCATCATTAGCGTGGTTTTTTAGTTTTTTTTTAACTATAATTATTTTTTTGTATTTGATGAGATATGGTGATAGCTGGTTATCCGGGTCAACATATAGGATACATTTTACTGCGAGAAAATGTCTCATCTCTGTTAGATATAGGTGAAGCTAATAAAAACTATTATTTTCATGTCAAATATTCACTTAACCTTCACTTTAACCAAAGAAAAGTAAAACTTTTCAATTACTGGTTTCGGTATTAAACTGATATATTTAATCATTCATTATAATTTACAACCCAATTTAATAATAATTATTCAAACTAAACCGAAACATTCGTAATAATTATGTAAAATATCGTAGTTTACTCAAAATCAACACGTTATCAACTAGATCTTCTAAATAATAAATAATTTAGTATGTTGTTTCGTAAGTCACACACATACACACACACACACACGACATCCGTATTGATAATAATGACTATATCAAAAAGATTTTTCAAAAAATATTTAATGTAAAGATTCGATTCAGTTAGAATCGCCTTAATCTAAGAAATTCTTTCATTATCACTAAGATATAAACATTGAAGCATTGCAACTACATGCATCAGTATCTGAGCCAAGGCAGGTCACTGGTAATACTAGATATTAAGTAATACTATAAATGCGAAAGTAGCTGTGTATGTCTGTTTGCTTAGCTAAAAGCGAAAAACATGATGATGTAATTCTTTATGTGAATAGGTTACATATTTGGATAATTTTTTAAAGACAACTTTTGTAAGTTTGAACATGACTGAAAAAGCTTTACATGGAAAATATTTAATTAAATACGTACCTATATTATTTACAAACGACTCACCCTCGCTTCGCTCGGGTTCGTCCCTAGGTTGATTTCCCTTACAAACTTTCAACCCCATTTTCACCTCCCTAAGGGATGATTTCCGGGATAAAAAGCATCCTATGTTCTTCCCAGGGTCTCAAACTGTCTTCTTACCAAATTTCTTAATCGGTTCTGTATATCCAGAGATTATCCCCTACAACCTCACAAACTTACAAACATAACCTCTTTATAATATAAGTATAGATTAAAGTTCACGCTCTTTTACTTTATTTTAATGATTTATCAAAGGATGCCTAGTTTTATACAGATGTAAAAAACTTATTCTCTAGAACTACGATGTTTATCGATAAATTTGATTGACATCACTATTGTAAAGGACGTTTATTTGTAAAATATTAATATCAATATTGACTTTTTATCGTTTGCTTTAATGGTAGTTAGGTATATAAAAAAATAATACTTATATCGGAATTCTCTTGAACAGTCAAGGTTCTTGAATGAAATGAAAACTGTTTATAATTTTAAAATAGCTGAGCTCATGTGCTTATTTCCATGATACTAAAGGAAGACAATTCATGCATTCATATATGTTTGTATCTCTGGAATGGCTGAATCAAATTTAATTGAACTTTCGCTAGTGAATACAAACTCAGGAGAAAAAGACACGGGTTGATAATTTTTTTTTTAGTTATCGTATGGAAAAAGTGTTGCCATTGTTATAATGTGAATAAGAAATTAATTATAATTTTAAGCAGATGTATTAAATTATAGATTATGTAAAGAGAAAGAGTAGTTTAATTGATTTTGGAATTTATTTAAAGAAATAGCGGCTCATCCTTGCTTCGCTCAGGTTCGCCTCTAGAAAAGCACAAACAGATCTATCCCACGGGAACCGTTCATTATTCCGGGATAAAAAATATTCTGTTGTTTGACCAGTAATACAAGAAATCAGCATGCCAAATTTTACTAAATAATGTGCATAAGTTGTTGTGTACTAAGCTGTATAAGTTACTATATATTTTTAATTATCCCACGGGAACTCTTTAATTTTCTGGGATGAAAAGTATCTAAAATTTTGACCGGGGATATAAGGTCCATGCAATGTAAACATACATATATATACAATAAAATTTAATTAAATAGGTCCACAGTTTCGGAGATCAGCCCGCAGACAAACAGACAGAGACACAAAAAAATTGAAAAAAAAAGTGGATTTGTACTATTCCTCTTGTTACATCCCCCTGCCTTGATTTTTAGCATTTTTTTCTATGTGCAGATATTTGACCTCTACAGTTTTATTATATGTATAGATTTCGCTAGACTTTAAAGTACTTTTTAAATAAAATTTTAAGTAATACTATCTCTTAGATTTTTACACAGATTTATTTTAATTTTGAGTCGTAATATGCAAAACGAAATGATTTATAGATCCCACTTCCACTTTCAAATTAGGAACCTACTGTTTATTAATTATTATTTTATTTTTATGTAACTACTAGGAACTTATATATTTATTTAATTATTTATTTACCATTGCTTCGCTCGGTGCGTAACAGTAAGTAGCCTATGTATAACTCTAGGTCATAGTCTATCTGTGTACCAAATTTCATCTAAATTTGACCAGCCGTTTCTGTGTGAAGTAAAAAGCATACACGTACAAATTAAAAACTCGCATTTATAATAATTCTAGTAAACCATAAATCATTACAATATAACTTATAATAAATATTTAAAATATTGAACTTATGACGTAAATTGTTTTTCCCTTAAGTAGCTACACGTTGGTCTTTTTCCTCTAGCTAATACTTTTTTGAAGCTTAGCTAATAATATAAAATAATTAGATTTTTAAGTTAGCGTTTGCACGCTGTTTATTGACTCGTAAGTTATTACGATCATGTGTGTTTCATTATATCTCGAACAACGTTACTAGACAGACGTGTAAGAGAAAACTTAACTAAGTGATAAAAAAAACGGCTACCAAAATAATATTTAAACAAAACCAACTATTATTACAACATAATTATTTAATTATTCAATTTATATAATGTACAGTGAACAGTGAAAGTGTAGTGATGTGCATATACGTTGTATGAACTTCAAGAAGTTGGTAACACCTTCAATCATAATTGCTAATTATATAAGGGATTTCTTCGCAATGTTGAAACGGCGGACGTCCAAACGTTTTGTACTGGGTGATACGTCGGTGGATGAGGGGAATTGGGAAGATGAGGCTGCTGAAGTTATACCATCAGCTTTGGTGCAGAAATTTCAAATGAAATTGGATGCTGATTTGGATGGGGCTAAACAAAATGAAGATCTTCCGCAAGTGCAAGATGGACGTTTGCTTAGAACACCCACAGGAACCTTACAGTGAGTTTTGTGGTCTTTACTAATATAAGAAATGCGTGTGTATCGTATGTGTATGTATATATGCGCCATCTTTTTATAGATCAACGTCGGATTTAGGTACATAATAAGTTTTTTTTTTTTTAAATATAAAAAAAATATGCCAGTTCTGGCATATACGATGTCTTAGCAATGCCTATTTGATTGTATATCTCAATTCAAAAATTGTATGGTATCTAATTAATTCATATTTATATCATACCAACACAAAAGTTTTGAATTTAATACAAATTACTGACCCTAAAAATAACTAACTACGAAAGACCAAAATCCTAGCATATTTATTCCTACTCAAGCTTAGTAAAAAGGTAATGAAGTTAGTAAATAAACTTATAAGTGTGAAGGATTTATAATTATACTAACTAAATGTGTATGGAATGTGGGTTCGATGCCCGTGCAGTATGAATACTTACAAAGTGTTATCCTGTCTCTATCTTATACGAAAAAAAGAGCGCACCGAAATAATTTAAAACATTAAAATGTTTTAGCAAAAAAGTTAATATTTAATATTAGCATATTGTAAAATAATAGACGTCTATAAAAAATTACACTCCTATATTAGTACCTACTGCTAGTTAGTTATCTTCATAATATTGAAGAGTAGGTGATCTTCGATTTATATCTATACTAAAAGCTTGTGGGTTTGTGAGTTTGTGACGTTTGTAGGGTAATCTCTAAATCTATTGAACCGATTTAGATGAAATTTGGTAAGAAGATAGTTTGAGACCCTGGGAAGGACATAGGGTACTTTTCATCCCGGAAATCATCCCTTAATCGTGTAAAAATGGGGATGAAAGTTGTTTGTATTGGGAAGTTAAGCGAGGGTGAGTCGCTAATCTTTTAATATAAATGATATAAATCATGGTACGAACGTGCAAGATAATAAAAAAAATAATCATAACTTTTAATTAACACAGTAAATAAGTACATACATATAATTATTTATAAATTATGCGAATGTCGCGCGACTGTAACGACTTTGCCAGTAATTTATGCACATAATATAATAAAACTGTAAGAGGGCAAAGTGATATATTATTATCTTTTAATAATTAATTTATATTTGGGGGATGATTAGGATGTTATAAAAATTTTTGTATATTTATTTAATCAGTCATTACCTACTGGACAGATTTTAATAGAGCTGGAATGCGATGGGGAGTTTCTTTACTAAAGAAATTCAGATCTTTTAGAGACTAACTGCTGTTCTGAAGGGAAAAAATGGTAAAACTTTTGCCATTTGACAATTGTTATTCGCGCATTGAAATTAATTTGATAGTGCTATTGAGAAATGCGGACTTTATTTTAGAGAAATTATAATACACTTACTAAAGTTTCATATAGATATACCATCTCATTCCATTTAAAAAAAAATAAACTAAACGGAAATTATATTTAGTTGTGGAATAAACAAAAATGCTGACAGACAGACATTGACAGTTGTTAGCGTGAGGCTCATTAAAATTTAATATTCTTTTTGTGATTTTAATGTAATTTAATTAGTAAATATATTAATTAATTTTCGAATTTATGTGCTCGAAAAGCCAGTACTACCCACTAAAACCCAACAAAACCTTCCTAGCAGGATCACTTACGCACTCAACTACGACGCCCTCATGGTAGGTCTGCCAGAGCAGACCACAATAACCATAGGGTTGCTCCACAGTCCACTCTGCTATCAGAGAAGTACCAGGAGCAACCCGCATGGTACACCGCCCACCGAAGAGGGCCACCTCCCTGTGCGTTTCTTGGCTTCGCGCCCGGCTGGATTGCCAGACACTACTGAGCCTGAATATATTAAAATAATTCTATACGCATAACAAAATCAACAAGTGCTAAACATTATGTCAATGTTTTCCTTGCCGATTTTTCCCCGTATAAGCCAATGTCAACAGTAATCATCTCAGCCTCAATATGAAGATTGATGAAAAAAAATATGTTTTTTTTTTAGTTTTAAATCTGATTAATCTTATAATCACAAAGTTTCACACTATTTAGAAATACTGCCGCCATGTACGTACGCATATTATATAGTAACCAAGTAATATTTCAAGTTTTTAGATCCAATAGTTTTTGCTCTTAATGCCCAAGTCAATCTTTCCGTGCGGGCTATTTTATAATACGTTCTGTTAATAAGCATGAGGTTATTTATTTTACGTATATATATATATACGAATATTTTACATTTATATTTAAATACTATATGTTAATTTAATAAGATAATAAAATAATTCAAATAAGTTTTGGTACTTATTTTATTGAATGAATAGTAATAAATTTTTATTTACTTTTAATAGTTTTTTATACATACATATAATATAAGCATATAATGTAAGTATATATCGATAAAACGTACATCACTCAAAGTAGAATTAGTAACATTATTTATACATATTTAGAATGTTGCGTTCTTAATTACTATCCAGTAAATCTCGTAACTATACGCCTTTAATTGAAGCTAATTATAAATATATATAATTTCTAGGGAAATAAAAGTTTAGTGAAAGATTTTTTTTAAATTGAAATCGCATCGAATATAAGAATAGTAGTTATATATTGACATTTCACAAATAGTAAAAATATCTGAACAAAAAAATGTGAACAGCCATATATATTTAGATAAGGATATTGACTCTTAATTCTTACAGGATTATCTAACTTATATTTAATTAATATAAATTAATAGAAAACTTACTGAAAGGACTTTCACAAAAAAAAGAAACATGCCGTCCTGTTCAAGTTTCTTAAATGCAACATAACTATTTTAAAACCTTAACTGTTATTCTTTATATCCTTACTCTTATTAGAATAAGTAATAACATAATTATTAATTATGTAATAAAAGTTAGTACATATATCCGATAATTGCCAGAATATAATCAAATTTCTCTCAAGTCTGTACTAATCTATACTAATATTATAAAGAAGTAAAGTTTGTGAGTTTGTGACGTGGTAGGGGGTGATCTCTGGATATACTGAACTGATTTAAATGAAATTTGGTAAGAAGATAGTTTTAGACCCTAGAAAGGATACAGGACACTTTTTATCCCGGAAATCATCCCTTAAAGGGATGAAAATTGGGATGAAAGTTTGTATAAGGAAGCAATCTAAGGACGAACCCGAGCGAAACGAGGGTGAGTCGCTAGTTTAAACTAAATTTAACTAATTCATACACACCTTTAGCGGAACTGGAATAAAAATATCTTGCTAACATACTATTGCAAATTCCAATACTCATAACACCTTTAGCAAATATACGTACATATTATATCTTCTAAGTGATTCATTTCGAGTACATACCGTCAAAATGTAGACATCTTCATTTTTTCCGCATACTTTACAAAAAGGAGATAAAACTTTTTTCATTTAAAGTGCAAAATAGAGCGATAGAAGCTTTATTGAAGGTTTTCTAGGATCCTAGGATATAAAATGTACACCTTGTCCATAAAAAGACTTACAACAGAGTGACAGGCATTAAAAGTTTTTGTTTGCCTCTGATATTTTATATTTTTTAATGTTATGTATGTCACACTTCTTGACAAGTAACAGTCAATACGGTTCCTATCGAATAAGATACGCCAATACGGGCATTGTTATTTGAATTATATTGATACGGATTTAAGTCTAAAGTTCTAAACTATTGTATATATACTCAATGACTGCTTCCTATTCTTTACCTGAAACAACGATCTGTATTTCAAATTTAACTATTAACTTTATTGGGAATCAAACCTACAATCTTTGACGTTGTACGTAGTTCGACAATATTATGTACACTATCATTGAGTGCCAATGTGACGACATTCAAAGTAATTTTTGTTCCAACAGGTCTGACCAGGATTGTAAACATGAGAACCATATGTAATGTGTATAATTTTTGCTTACGTAGTTATACGTACGCATTTTAGTACATTTTTGTAAGATAAATTGTAAATTGAGATTATCAATGATGTTCTTTAGCATGTTTATGTGAAAAAAAAAAACAGAATGTCAGCTGAGCTTTGCATGGTTTCTGTTACGTATATAATGTATTTCGATTTAAATAAGTATTATATATTTATTACACACGAAATATTTGTTATTTATGTGGTAAGAAATAAAAGCGTTTTTATTTAGTGTTTATTTTTACACTAATTAGGTACTTTATTTAAATTCTATGTGAACTTAAATATTATAGCATAAACATGATATTTTTTTATATTTAATTTATAGCCTATTGTATTGTGTGGGAATAAATTATCATGAATATTCAAATTAGTTTCTGAATTATTAATTAGTGATATATAAAAATTACGTTATTTATTAAAAATATATATTATTTTATCGATATACTCATTATCGTCATTTTTCCCATTACTACGCAAATACAGAATTTTTGATATGCAATAACTATTTAATTTACTCTATAGCAACTTTGCATTGATAGTTTATCTCTTTCCAACTATTCTTACATCATACGATAGAAAGAGATAACAATATCGTATGATCACTTAATTGAAGTTCATTGGCGAATCAAACGTCATAAGGCGTACAAGTACGAAAACAAACTGTATAGTGGTTTCGGCTAAGATATGTTGTATTTATCTTGTTTATATGAAATAATAATCGTTGAGATTATTTGTGATTTATAAAAGATATTATAAAAAACATATTTATCCTCAAAAATGTATCCAACAATGAATGGACTCTATTCTGAGGGTCCTTACAGGTTAGTTATTAGTACAATGATTTACTCCAAATTATTTCGCAAATTACCCAAATTTAGACATTCATGTTAAAGTAAAAGCTATTTCATATATTAAAGTTTAATTTTATTGTATTTAGTGTGTGTTATATTGTGTCAATAGCCTAAAAAAATGCTGTGATTTCACTTTTCCTATGTAATTTGCATGTCTATACTTTCTTTTTATAATTAATAATTCTAACACGAAATAAAAATGCTTCTGTTATTATGTAAAAATACCACTTACATTAATTAATTAAGTAGCTCAACATTTATAAAATCTATTGCTATGTACACACAAGTTTTATTTATTTTCATTTAAATATTTATATAAAAACTTCTCCATTACTTCCTTAGATATTTTTTTTGTTTAATAAAAACAAGAAAAATTATCTTTTGTATCATATTTATGTTTTTATAAATTAGATATTTTTTAATTTTATTTTGTGTAATATATTAAAATTAAAATATTTAAGCAATCAAAAATCTAAGAAATATTTTCTAAATAAAGATATAAACTGTACAACGCTATCTGCTATTTAATATATCACTTCAGATTCATTTCTAAAATTTTAATGGTGAAAATGAGGGTAATTTAAGATTGCATGTTAGTAGTAACTTATAATATATATTTTTTATGTAAGTCAATCGTGTAATTATTATATTTATAATATTTATGTATTTAAAGTTATATATCAACTATCTGGTATCCATAAAACAAGCCTCGTAGCTTACCATGGAAGTAGATGGTGCTGCATGTTAATGTCACAACATATTTATTTTACTTGTAATTATTAAATGGATTTTAATAATATTATTATTGGTTATACAATACAAATTAAACAGTTCTTTGCCCAATTATAATTTTTGTTCTTATAATGTTATTGATAATAAATAAACTTGAAGTAAATGTAAATTAAGTAATACATTAAATTGTATGGTGTGATATAAAGAATACATGATCACAATAGGACCAAGAGGAAAAAATTGTTTTGTTGAAATTTGAACCCTCTGTTCATATTTTTTCCCGGTTTATTCACAGATTTTTTAAGGATTCAATTTTTTTATCACATTATTAGTATGAAATATATTGAAATCATATTTATAGCTTATTTCCTCCTTTAAAAACACTCTGTTTATTGTATTGGCTATCTTTTGCAATCTGTTATGCTTGGCCTTTCTATAATAGTTCACTTCATCATGTGATGTGATGTTATTGAGGTTTACATTAATTTAAACAAATCAAAAATAATGTAGATATTTTTCTGTTGTGTGTTTGTCTGTGTCAAACTAATGACATTCATATATGTAATTTAAAAAATATATTTTTATTAAGTCGTAACTCACTAGCTAATGCATGGCTTGTTTATTAGAATGCTTCCATTTACTGGGAAGTATAGCTTCAAGTTCTACCATATTATAAAAATTTATATAACTTTTTATTTATTTATTGACAATGAATTAATCATAGTATTTTTAAATAGTTCAATCGAAAACGTAATCAAATACCATAAAAAACTTGAGTTTAGTTAGTAGTAGCACATATTGAGTCTTGTAACATTAATTTTCTTATGTCAACCTTTTGCAAATAATAAAGTATGTTACTAAGATATGAAAATACAAATAATACTCTCTATACATAAGATTTTTTTTTAATATTCCAGACCGTCTATGTCCCAAGGCACAGTGATACACAGCCAGAGGTTCCAAGAGAAAGACTTTACTATTGCTACACCTGAAGAGTTTGTCCGGAGATTTCAAGGGACGAAACCTATTAATAAGGTAAAAATATACTATTGCTACATGATGATGTTCTCCCGATTCCGGCCACGGCGGCCTATCTCATTGAGATTAGCCAACTGCGCAGGAGATATTATAGTGCACAAGTGTATGCGCAGACAAAACATGCACTCTGTGTTCCTGTCACTCTCATACTCCGGTGGGACGACTGCTCGACACGACCAGTGAGAGTTCAGGTACAGGACCGACGGCTTTACGTGCTCTCCGAGGCACGGGGGTGAAACACCGCCAACTTCCCAACTCCGGGCTGTTACTGAGGCTTACTATACAGAAAGACTCAATAACTGAACTTGGCCCCACCCGGGACTCGAACCTAGGACCTCCGGGTGTGCAGCCGTACATGCTAGCTAGCTCTGCTGCTAGCCACTAATCCACCGAGACAGTTAAATTGCTACTTATTATAATAGAAAATACATTATAATTTACTTTACATTTTGGGCCAAATATAAGTATTTTTGATGGATATGATTAACTAACTTTGAGTGTCAGAAGTAGATGTGCAGTTGGTCGATGTGAAAATATAGCTATGTATATTTTTTAGCACCAAAAATGAAAAAAGTCTTATATATGTAAATAGGGCTACACTTCATTCACCTGCTGTGTACAGAGATGATACATGAAAAAAAAAATTGTTTGCCTTAAAAAATATGATTTGATCTATATAAAGTTAGTAATAACAAGTAATATACATCACTGACGTGGATAAAACGTTATGAAGGTGTAAAGGTTATATAATTACATTTATTTACTATATAATTGCACCACTCGACCCTCTTGCCCTGCTCTCCATATAGTCAATTAACTGAATTGTTTTTTTACTTTGGCCTTCTAACATTGTTTTTTGCTAAAATTCGGACAAGTGTGAGTTGTATTTAAAGACCATTCTTATAATTTTAGCACATTTTCTTTAGTATAAGTTTTGTTATATTATTTTTGTAATTTATTCAAAAATGATTTATTTAATTATTACTAGAGACTTCTCCCTCGCTTCGCTCGAGTTCGTCCCTAGGTACATTTTAATATTTTTGAGCGGAACCCTAATTCTTTACTGAAATAAAAGTAGTCTAAATTACTCTTTATAACATCAACTACCTGTCAGTGAAAGTCCCGTCAAAATCGGCCAGCCGTTTCGGAGATTAGCCGGAACAGACAGACAGACAAAAAATGTTAAAGTTGTGTTTTTCTTATAAATACCATATATAATTCCATATGCATTTAGTAAAAAGCTGTTATTTTTAAATTACAAACAGACACTTCGATTTTATTATCTGTATTCATTCCAATTTACTATAAACAATGTACTATCACAGATTAAAAAACCTTAATACAATATAATAAGATATCCAAAATATAATTTATTTAGATTGTAACAGAATTTCCTTATTTGCATTTGGATATTTACTTCAAACGATAACGCTCTTAGCTATATAAGAACCTTACCATAATAATTATTTTATGCACTGTTGTAATTACCTCTGCTTAATATTTTTAAATGTTAAACTAGATTTTGGACCGACTTGAAAAAGGAAAAGGTTGTAATTAAAAAATTTATTTATATTTCGCAAGGTGATTTTTGAATTTTTGAGGTCATTGATTGTTTTTGATGATTTCCATTAGTATAGATTTATTGAAACTGCCTTTTTGGGTCTTTTCGCGGATTTATTTAGAATGCTTTACAGCAATCATGGTCACGGGTAAGAATTAAAATAAATCCTTTCCAATGTAAGAAATATTTATTGATTGAATTAAATTTAAAGGCCGACAACCGAGTGGCAAAAACCCGAGATTCGCACCTCTAATATTCTCAAGTACGAACCATTTCCAACATGATTACCACTTGTCTTACGGTGAAGGAAAACATCGTGAAAAAACTTGTATGTATGAGAGAACCTAGCAAGTTCTCGAAAGACATGCTTAGTCCGCCCGCACTTGGCCAGCGTAGTGGTCTATGGCCTGATCCTATAATAATGAATGATAGATTTCATATATTGATCGTTTTAATTCCAGATACTGATCGCTAACAACGGTATCGGCGCAGTAAAATGTATGCGATCAATTCGAAGATGGTCCTACGAAATGTTCAAAAACGAAAGGGCAGTCCGGTTCGTGGTTATGGTGAGTTATATATAAATAAAAATGAAATGCAGTTCGTTGGTAAGCGATATGTAATAATTCGAATAAGGTTTTTAGAGAGGAATCAATTCAAGAAGTTTAGGGGGCATCCATTAATTACATGAGCTCAAAAATCTCATCAAATCTCATTCGAACTGAGGGGGCCATAATTGAAAATCTCACGTCAACTTTTAAAGAAAATATATATAATAAAAAAATTGTTTCATTTTTATTGAAGTGTTCTATTTTGTCCACTGGAAAAATATCTGAATGTTCTATTATTTTTATACTATATGAAAATAAATGTAGTCATTTAACTACTGTAGTGTAAATGTCACGTGAGGGCAATGGAGGGGGTCCCACCAAATCTCATTTAATCTCACGAGGGGGAAGGGGGGATGTTAGTATGAGTCGAAAGAAAAACAGTTCACGTAATTAATTTATTGTAACTGCCCCTCACTAAAAAATTGGAGAATTTGATTTAAAACTGATAGTTCTTTCTTCTATGGGATTTTTATATAAACTGAGAGATTGCAAAGAAATTAATTAAATAAAAATCGTCTAGTGGAAAGAACAAAGTTGTAATTTCTAACTCAGTACTTAACACTTAGAATATGTGAGTGACAGTTTTAATAGCACTGACAATGAGTTACATTTTGCTCTATTAAGTTGCTGAATTAAACTATATAATCATTTTTTGCTGTCTGTTTGTACTCGCTATTTTTTGTATCGGCTGAACTGGCGGATTTGCTCGCACATTTAACTTAATAAAAGACTTAAAGAAGAAATCCTAACGATATATTTATCGACGATTATATTATCGTCATAAATTCTTATAAACTAATATTTTTACTTTAATCGTACACTTAAATTATAATTTAATAATTTTTAAAACATAACAGTTAAAATAATTAATTACAATTTTTTATTTTATCCACAGGTAACCCCAGAAGATTTGAAAGCAAACGCCGAATACATAAAAATGGCGGATCACTACGTCCCAGTACCCGGTGGATCGAATAATAATAATTATGCGAATGTTGAACTCATTGTTGATATCGCCGTCAGGACCCAAGTACAAGTGAGTTGAGGTTTTGTTTTCTAATAAATGACCTAAGGACAAACCCGAGCGAAACGAGAATGAGTCGCTAGCAGTGGAGTAGGCTGAAATTTTAGCAGAGGTAAGCCGTTCCATAAATATACAATTTTTATATATGTATTAATGCAGAAAGAAATAAAGATAAAGCTATTATATACATATATATATATACATATATATATATATCCAAAAGAACATTTATACATTCAAAAAATTAAATGTATGTAAAATTATAGTAAAATAATTTTAAGGTAAGACATCTTGTATGGACCCTTCGTCACTGGTCTCTAGTAAATAAATATATATGCATATTACTAAAATAGTACCTATAATAACACAATAACTAATAAACTATATGTTTACAGGCCGTATGGGCAGGTTGGGGTCATGCTTCAGAGAACCCCAAACTCCCAGAGTTATTACACCGGGCTGGTGTGGTCTTCATCGGTCCCCCGGAGAAAGCTATGTGGGCTTTAGGAGACAAGATTGCTTCATCTATAGTGGCGCAGACTGCGGATATACCAACTTTGCCATGGAGTGGAAGTGGTGGGTTAAATACCAATAAACAAGCACTATATTTTATGTTAAATAATACTATCTGATCGGATTTTAGACACCTCAAAGTTCATTATGTAGTTGTTACAGAAACCTTAATCTCTCCCGTGACCATGATTGTTGTAAAGCATCTGAAACTTCGGGAACCAAAATCAAAATAAATCTGCGAAATAATCCGAAAAGATAGTTTTATTTAAAATGTCGGATATTCGCGTAAATCTAAAAAAGTATCATTTACTATTAACTAGCGACTCCATTATGTCCTTTGTATATATATATATATATATACGTGGTGTAAAAAACATACAAAATTTTACAATTATAACACCTCCAGGTAAATTTCTAAGAAATCTCTTGTTAATTGACACGCCGGCGTGTCCGCGGCCGTGGAGGGAATAATAGTAGCACGATATACATGCAGTGCCATCTTTTGGCGAATTTTGTCACTAACATTAGTCTATGTGCTACTATAACGGTTTCACGTAACTAACGACTAATGAGGTCGTTGTCGTGCGGGAAGCGCGGTGCTCCCGACTGGTATACTTACTTTTTTACGTCAGTTGGGAGTGGCTTTAGGGTTGACGCATAACTGTAACTTGTGAGGCACTATTAGAATTACTACTCACTCAACCTCACTTTCCCTCGGATTCGTCCCTAGTGAAATAAACAAATCTATCCCACGGGAACCGTACGATTTTCCGGGATAAAAAGTAGCATATGCGCTATTCCGGACTATAATCTATCTCTGTGCCAAATTTCATCCAAATCCGTTCAGCCGTTTTGGCGTGATTGGGTAACAAACATCCATCCAAATTTTCGCATTTATAATATTTATATTATGGGATTAAAATTTTAAAATATATATATAAAAGATTTTATTAAAAACTAGCGGACCCGACAGACGTTGTCCTGTCTACACGTCTTTAATTTGAAAATTTCAAACATTTTTTAATAATTTTTTTGATGAAAATTATTATTCAAATTGTGAATCTAAACCATTCCCAGATCCCCTTGAACACACACAAAAAATTTCATCAAAGTCGGTCCAGTCGTTTGAGAGAAGTTCAGTGACATACACACTCACAGAAGAATTATATATATAAAGATGTACAAAAGTAAATAATTTTAATGTATTTCCTATATTTTTAGAACTAAAAGCTGAATACAACACTAAGAAAATCAAGATATCGTCTGAATTATTCGCTAAGGGCTGTGTGTCGTCCCCCGAGCAAGGTCTGCAGGCCGCTAATAAAATTGGTATGTAATTTTTATATTACACATAATAATATTTAAGATGTATATAATAAAAGAAGGCAGCTGTAGTCCAGTGGTAACACGCTCGCTTGCGAAACCGAGTGACGCGGGTTCAAATCCCGGGTGTCGCACCTCTGATATTTTCATGTGCGAATCATTTCCAACATGATCACTTCTTATGGCGAAGGAAACATCGTAAAGAAACCGGCATGTCTGAGAGCATATTCCGTTCGCACTTGACCAGCGTGGAGAATATAGTCTGATTCTTCGAGTATTAAAGGGAGACTCACCCCCAACAGTGGGATGTTAAAAAGGTCTGAATACACGTAATAAAAAACTAGTGATTGTGTTCTAGGAGCGCAAAGAGACGATTTGTAAATCACAATATTCATATGTATTTTTTTTTTTGGTGAAAGCCATGTACTAGTTCCTAAGATTAAACCGAATAAACACCCAATTATGACTCATTTATAACATTTAGTGATATAAGGTTAATTATTGATATTAATTAATTTCATTTTCAACCGACTTCAAAAAGGAGGAGGTTCTCAATTCGCCTGTATTTTTTTTTTGTTTTTTTTTTTTTTTTTTTTTATGTTTGTTACCTCAGAACTCCGTCATTTATTGACCGATTTGGACAATTTTTGTTTTGTTTGAAAGGGTATACTTCCAGATTGGTCCCATTTAAATTTAAAAAAAAAATACCACCCCTAAGGGTGCAAAAACAACTAATGATGAATTTAACCTACTTCTAATTGTCATATTGACTTGAAACTTTGCAAGTATTTCTATTTCCGTTGATAGTACAGTGGTTCGGTGTTGTTGACCTGATCTGATGGCAAGGCCAGAAGGTGGATAGGTGGAACTCTTCAACGGCTAATAGTAGATACTTTGAGTTTGGGCTTATTTTGTTTGATTTGACAAGCCTAACACGTTAGAATCCTTACTTTGCTACTACTGTCTACACTAAAAAGGGAAAAATAAAAACTTTTTAACAAAAAATAAAAACCGACTTCAAACAAAAGCACTAAAAAGTAAAAAATAACTGATTGGTAGTTTTCATTTACTATACATACCTAATCAAATATTTTCGAAGTCGGTGTGCTTTGGCTAAGTAATTAAAGCCTACCTATTAAATACATACTTAATCAAATATTTTCCAAATCGGTGCCAGCCCATACAAAGCAAAGCACACCGACTTCGAAAATATTTGATTAGGTATGTATAGTAAATGAAAACTACCAATCAGTTATTTTTTACTTTTTAGTGCTTTTGTTTGAAGTCGGTTTTTATTTTTTTGTTAAAAAGTTTTTATACTTAATTTTTTAATCTGTATTCTCCATATTACAGGATTCCCCGTCATGATCAAGGCGTCAGAGGGCGGTGGTGGCAAAGGTATCAGAAAAGTGGAAAACGCTGACGACTTCAATAACATGTTTAGACAGGTTAGTATATTAATTGTGACAGCACAGATTATATAATACTTGTGACTCAAGTCACTCGTCCCTAGTGAAAACAATAACAAATCTATCCCACGGGAACCGTACATTTTTCCGGGATAAAATTAACCTATGTGCTATTCCATACTATATCTGTGCATCCTCACAAACTAACATTTATAATATTAAAAAAACTTTTAAAAATATAATAAACACCGACTTCCTGGCACTAAAATGTAAAAAAGAACCAAACGGGGGTTTTCATTTAGAATAGATATCTAATCAGATATTTTCGAAGTCGGTGCCTAAGCATTGCATTTAAGGCTCAATTTACATTGTTGTATATTTATTTCAACAAGAATAATTACCTAAACACAATCGGTGACAGTTTTAGGAGATTTTTTGCATGGGATTGTGTATCTAGTAGTTTTTTAATCGATGGATATAAATCATTCGCAATTATTTTGTCAGGTGCAAGCCGAAGTTCCAGGGTCACCGATATTCGTGATGAAGTTGGCCAAATCCGCTCGCCATTTGGAAGTGCAGTTGCTGGCTGATCAATACGGTTAGTTGACTAAATATTCCGTGTTTTCCAATTACAGCACTATAGCGCATTATGCGACATGATGCTAATATCGAATGTTTTAACTACAGCAACGCTCCGCTCAATCGAGCACTTTGAATAGTCTTGCTTTGCTGTGATGCGCGCAAGAATACCAACTCAGTAGCAGAATATAAGAAGTGTGTTTTCTTCAAGGTGGAATTGATAAAAAAATTATTTACATTGTCATTAGTAATATTTGTTTATATTTTATTTATATTATTATATATTTAATATATGTTTTTCAATACTGAATCTAGTGCCCGCTTCTGATGCACCTGAAAATTAATTCACGTTCCAATTAAGAATTAGCACACCTCGATATTGTGCGCCAAAGTGCGGCATTATGCTCTGTAATTGGAAAACTGGGACTATTTATAATCTCTATTGACCGTCTACGCTATCTATGCTAATCTTTAATATATAAATATCTCGTGTCACGGTGTTTGTGGTCGCAAACGAAACGGCTTGACCGATTTTAATGATTTTTTTTGTTTATTTGGTAGGTATGAGAATAGGTCGTAAAGTATTTTTATGCGACAAAAGGTATTCTATGCCTTTCTCTGTCTATACCAAACTTCATCAAGATTGGTTCAGCGGTTTACGCGTGATAACGTAACAGACAGACAGAGTTACTTTCACATTTATAACATTAATATGTATTTGTATTTATATTTATAGGTAACGCAATATCGCTATTTGGCCGCGACTGTTCCATACAACGCCGTCACCAGAAAATCATAGAAGAGGCTCCAGCTGCCATCGCGAAGCCCGAAGTTTTTATTGAGATGGAAAAGGTTAGTATTGATTTTTTTTTAAATGGAATTCTCCAAAGTTTCTTCCTAACGTATCAATTTGTTACTATAAGTGCAAAAATAACGTTCGTATTGTGATTCGTAAGTAAGGTCGGCTGCCGGGGCCCAGCCCGTCCTGGTGGGTCATATCTCTTCATCTGGATGTTAGATGCGTGAACACATACAAACATACACCTCTATAAATGATTTGATATGAATAAAAAAAATACTGTCCGTTGGTATCACATCACTTGAGAAAGATTGGACCGATTTGGCTATTTTTTTTAATGTCCTATCAGCAGTACACTGAAGGTGTACTGCGCCGACCCCAAGTGATTTGGGAAATGGGCAGGGAGAAGAAGAAGTGCAATTGGGAGTCACGGGATCGATTGCTTACACATTGAAAAGCTCGTTTACAGCGTAGCTCATTATACTTAGTAAACTTAAAACTTAATAAGAATTTCCTAGATTCAAGCGAATATTTAACATTTTAAATTAAATCATTTTTTTCGGATATTTTTATTCCCGACGGTTGGAATGCTTTACCGACGGTAGGAATCATCGAAATTATCCGATATCTGAAAAAACCTTTATATTTAATAATATAATTTTCTAATTTCAGGCAGCAGTACGTTTAGCCAAAATGGTAGGCTACGTCAGTGCCGGCACAGTGGAGTATCTATATGAACCTCTCACTGGCTCTTATTTCTTCCTAGAACTGAATCCCAGGCTGCAAGTGGAACATCCCTGCACTGAGATGGTGGCTGATGTTAATTTACCGGCTGCGCAGTTACAGGTGAATCTTTTTGTGAAAGACCATTTGGTCTACTTAAAAGACCGTTTCGTCTATTCAAAAGACCGTTTGGTCTATTGAAAAGAGTTAACAGTAGTGATGTTAAGTCAATTATAGATAATATTTTGTCTACTAAATGTAGTAAATTTAGTCATTCGGTTTGATTAAATAGTTATATAATTTCTCAGATTGCCATGGGACTTCCCCTATATCACATCAAAGATATCCGTCTCCTCTATGGAGAATCCCCGTGGGGTATGACCCAAATCGACTTCGACGAGCCCAAGCAGAGACCTTCACCCTGGGGTCACGTGATCGCCGCCAGGATCACTTCTGAGAATCCTGATGAAGGTCAGTAGACGAGTAGACCGATAGAACACTATCATATTATAAGCAAGTTGATTTTCTACTAGTTGACTCAAACCTATCGAATATTGGTCCGACTAAGGACTCGAATCCCTTAAATAAATAAATATATAATAATAAAACTATATTTTGATTTTTGACTTTTTAAAGGCTTTACAGGAATCTTTTATTTAAATAATCATATATTTTTTAACTGTGATATTGCATCTGATATTTATATATAAATCTATCTGTTTAGATAAGTAATTTTTACAAAAAATCTTTTTCTAGGTTTCAAACCATCCTCCGGTACTGTCCAAGAGCTAAACTTCAGGTCATCTAAAAATGTATGGGGCTACTTCAGTGTAGCGGCTTCAGGTGGACTTCATGAGTTTGCTGACTCTCAGTTTGGACATTGTTTCTCTTGGGGAGAGACCAGAGAACAGGCGAGAGAGTGAGTTATTGAAATACTTGAAATACTAATTGTAATCGAAAAATTGTGTGTTTGTGTGTTTGTTTCTGTAGAAACGGCTGGACAAATTTGGATAAAATTTTAGCACTTAGATCGTCTATGACCTGGAGTAATATAGGCTACTGTAAGGCACTTAAGCTTGCTCTACTCGGTCACTAACTAACGTCCCACTGCTGGGAGTGAGCCTCCTTTCATACGAGGGGGATCTGACCATAGACCACCATGCTGGCCCAGTCCGGGCAGACTTCATATGTCTTTCGAAAACTTGCTAGGTTCTCTCAGACATGCAAGTTTCCTCACGATGTTTACCTTCACCGTAAGGCAAACCCGCCTATATGCTTTTTTAAATCTATCTATAATCTATCATAGTATATCTCTTTTGTCTCTTTTTTTAGAAATTTAGTCATTGCCCTCAAAGAGTTGAGCATTCGTGGTGATTTCCGAACTACAGTGGAGTATCTCATCACTCTGCTAGAAACTCCGTCTTTCCAAGAGAACCATATCGATACGAGCTGGCTAGATGCGCTCATCGCTGAGAGGGTGAGTTTGTATTGAAAACTACCATTTGGTAGAAAATGGTAGAATTTGAAGTTTGTGGTATAAAGTAGTTTTTTAAATAGTTACATTTATAGTATTATTTTTTTATATTGTTTTTAATCTCGGAGACTAAATTGACACATGCAAATGTCAAATTTACAAATAATGCTGCCAGCTCTTTTGTGCAGTGTTTACGACACCGGTTTGTTGAATCATAACTTTTTATCTTACTTAAATAATTCGCTTCAAAGTTTTATATTCCAAAGTGTATCATTAAAATTCACATTATTAATTTTTAATTATTAAATATCATATTTATTAATTTTAAATCATTAAGTATAATTAGAATCCACATTATTTACATTACACTTGACTTTATTACCGTTAATTTTCGATATTGGCACATCACTATTTAAGAATTGCAAAACACTGTCAGCCCACGTAATGTCAGTTTTGTCTCGTGAGATTAAAAAAGAGACTATAGTTTGTTTAAATATTATTAATATTTACAAATTCATCTTTATTATATAAAAACTATTTCAATATAAATTAAACTTTTCTTTATATCTTAATCTGTCACTGTTTCCTTTACAGATGCAATCAGAGAAACCGGACGTCATGTTGGGTGTTTTATGCGGCTCTATCCTCATAGCGGATAGCATCATCACTGCGCACTTGCAAGAGTTCAAGAGTGCGTTGGAAAAGTTAGTTTATTCGTTATAAATATAACTTTATATTATCTGTGCAAATTTTTTTATCTATACTTTTTGTAAAGGATGAAATATTTCTTGATGTTTTCGCTTTCAACTTACCATTGAAATATTCAAAATTTGATATTTATATATTAAGGAGTCTGCCTACTACACCATCTCATACCATGACCGTACTATGAACGTATCGGACACGGAAACAAGTGACGCGGACTTCTATGACCACTAGAACGCGTCAACAGCGTATCCGCGTGTCATATCAGTGTACGGATCCCTTTTTCTCAGTCGTAGTAGTTCACTTAAAAAATATATAATTTAAAAGAAAATATTATCACTAGAAGACAAGCGGCATCACATTTGTTTATAACGGGCTCAGAACGGTCATCATACGCGGCTATGCCCCGTATGTTCACCGTCACGCAAGGTCGCCGTTCCGTGCGGCACTACTTTTCAAAACAAAAAATATTTTTATGCCTGACACGGTCCTAGCACGGTCATGGTATGAGACATGGTATTGGACAGTGTTTAAAAATATGTAGGTACTCCCAATTGCTTGAGAACTCAACATGCAGTAGAATAGTGTTGATAACATTTCTTAGAATTTATTAGTGAATCTAAACCTATGTAAATTAATTTAAAAAATTATGAAAATAATAATAAATGTCAATAATCCTCATATCTATCATGAACTAACGGTTTTAAGACAAAACTCTTTATTTAACCCCGGAAACCTGATTAGTGGTTAGTTAGTGGTTAGTTGGTAGTGTGGTTCAAATAAAAAAATAGTTAGTCAATTCAGTTAACACTTGGCAGTAAAGGAATGTCACAGGTTCATATTGCCATATAACACTTTTGGAATCAAAGGAATTGAATTGAATCGTTGGAAAATGACGTTTTGACAGCTCATAAAATGTATGTCAGTTTATTGGTGTCGTCAACAACCAATTGCTATCTATACAGATATATAAAATTAAACTGTCTGTTTGTAATGTCAAAATAATAACTTTAAACTAAATATACGGTACTTATAAGAAAAAAACTATTTTGAAATCTTTTGTCTGTCTGTTTGTTCCGACTAATCTCAGAAATGGTTGGACTGATTTTAATAGGACTTCATTGGCAGACTAGCTGATGTTATTAGGAATAACTTAGGCTACTTTTGTTTTAGAAAAAGAATTAGGGTTCCGCTGAAAAAAACTAAAATCCATGAAATTCTAACCAAATTCGCGTACCCAAGCGAAGCGTGGGTAAATCGCTTGTTGTGTATATATAATAATTTTATTTTTATTTTTCTAGAGGACAAATCCAAGGTTCCAGCCAGTTGTCCAACAACGTAGACGTAGAGTTAATACACAGTGGACACAAATACAAAGTGCAAGCGACCAAGTCCGGACCTACATCATACTTCCTGGCTCTGAACGGTAGTTTCAAAGAGTTGGAAGTTCATAAGCTTACAGATGGTGGTGAGTAGACTGGGTCTTTTTGAGAAGACCAGATGATCTCATTCAAGATGAGAATGTCTTTTGTATATTATTTGAAATAAACCTTAAATATGACATTTAAATACTGTAATTTATAGGCTTAGTGCGCAATTTTGTACGATATTATCTCGTAGCCCACAGAGTAGAATAGACCTTGTACTCTAAAAAGTTTGATAGACGATTTACTTTAGTATTTTGTATATAGGAGGTTAGTGACTAAATTAGTTTTGACTTAGGATTACATTTACTTTGAAAGTAAAAATTTTATAATAAAATAATATATAAAAAAATAACTTCACCTAGTAAATTTTTTTTAGTATTAAAATATATATTTTTTTCATTTAGGTACACTACTATCAGTCGACGGAGCGTCATTCACTACATATCTAAAAGACGAAGTAGACAAATATCGTATTGTAATCGGGAATCAAACTGTGGTCTTTGAGAAGGAGAAGGATCCTTCCAAGTTACGAGCGCCATCTGCCGGCAAGTTGATAAACACATTGGTGGAAGATGGCGGCCATGTGGACAAGGGACAGCCTTATGCTGAGATTGAGGTGAGAACATCGAGTAGTATAGTAGGTCTACTTATAGTCTATTAGTGGGAATAGGGAAAAGACCATGAGTAGACCTAGTAAAGATTAAGTAGATTAGTTAACTTTTTTGTTTTATTATTACTTTAAATTAAAGTGTAATATTTACGTTTTTTGCAAATGTACAGCGGTCTTATTTAATATCCAATCAAAAGAGAGTGATAAGGCGGAATTCTGCAGTGTTTGCGCAAGTCGATTTTTGCAGAGAACTAATGTACTCTCTATAAAAATAGGAGGCATTTTGAATTTGAACTTTAAATAGATTATATATTGGAAATCTATTTGTGAAAATATCTTAAACAATCGAGTTACTATGTTATATGTTGCAGTTGTTAATGTTTTTTTGTATTTTTGTTTATTTTATAGTCGTGGTTCCTATAATCTATACTATATAGTATATATATATATATATATATATATATATATATATTATATATATATATCTATACATTATACTTTATTACCATGTATTATTATAGAGAGGAAGATTTTTTTGTTTGCTTATTTGTATGTTTGTACCAAATAGGCTTTGAACCGATTTAGATGAAATTTGCTAAGAAGATAGTTTGAGATCCTGGGAAAGACATAGGATAGTTTTTATTCCTAAAGGGGGTGAAAATGGGGATGAAAGTTTATATGGGGAAGCAAGCTAGGAACGAACCCGAGCGAAGCGAGAGTGAGTCGTTAGTCACATATATTTTAATTACACCTACAGAAATAACGTAAAGAGTTAGTTAAATTATAGATGGTTATTTAACAAATAAGGGGTACCCAGTAACTAGGTCTTATACTTAGTACAGGCTTACGCCCTTGCAACTATTTGTAATGCATATTGTATAAGTCATTTTTTTTCATTTTTTATAACTTTTTCAATTATATGGTGACCAGGTGATGAAAATGGTGATGACCCTGTCGGCCCCGGAGGCGGGCAAAGTGACGTGGTGCCTGCGGCCCGGCGCCGTGCTGGACATGGGCACGCTCATGGGGGTCTTAGGTGAGCTGGACTGGGTATTAGTTTATATTACACTAGCGGATCACCCTCGCTTCGCTCGGGTTCGCTTCTAGAAAAACACTAATGGAGATCTATTAGTTCCCACGGGAACCGTTCATTTTTCCGGGATAAAAAGTAACCTATTTGTTATTTTGATGTATGACCTATAATTATTGTAAAGTTTCAGCCAAATCCAATCAGTAGTTTTTGTGTATTAAGCTGTATAAGTTACTATAGTTTTTTGACTGTCCCACGGGAACCCTTTAATTTTCTGGCAAAAAAAGTATCTAAGATGTTGCCCGGGAATATAAGGTACCACCATGAAAAAAATCATTCAAATCGGTCCTATAGATTCGGAGATTAGCCCGTACAAACAGACAAACAGACAGAAAAACAAAAAAATTAAAAAAAAAAAATCTGGATTTGTTCTATTTGTCTTCTTACACCCCCCTGACTCGGTTTTTAGCATTTTTTTGCTATGTACAGACATTCGATCTCTACTGTTTTATTATAGTATAGATATCAGTGGCGAAGGGTCGATACAAGATGTCTTACCTTAAAATGTATTTTCAATTTTGCTATAATTTACATACATTTAATTTTTTAAATGTAAACATTTTCTTTTGAAAATATATATATTTCTTTCTGCATTAATACGTATATAAAAGTTGTTGAACGGCTTACCTCTGCTAAAATATTACCCTTCGCCACTGTACATATATATATATATATATATATATATATATATATATATATATATATATATATACAGTGGTCTGTCGTACCAGCTAGTATATGTACATACTAGCTGGTACGACAGACCTCGTTCTCTTAAATCAATTGTGTAGCAGGCCCGATTAGAAAATGGGTGTTTTTAGGGGCATTTTTTTGAAGTTATACTTCTTTTGGGCACGTTTGAAAAAAAATGAGGGTAAAATTTTTACGATGCGCGCGCACACCGACAGCCAAAAAGCGACTAGATGAAGTTAGCTGCATTCCTTTTACAAACAGAGAGTTGTGACGTACGGGATGAAATCTTTAGCTATTTTCATTCTGTTACTCCAAAGAAGTATAACTTCTTACGTGCATACATAAGAACACACACACGTTTTTTTTTCAATCTTTCTCTTCATAAGAACCTTCCTCAGACTTTAGCGAATATTTAAAAAAAGTCCAGTTGGCTTGGAGTTTTGCGCTTAGCAACTCTGTTTTTTTAGCAACAATTTTCAAGAGAAAAAAGGTATCTCATCATAACGAAGCGAAAAAATAATAATTAAACTTGATAATAATCATGTTTAAAAAATGGCTTATAGATCTCTGATTCTCATTCTATTTACTTGAAAACTATATAATATTTTTTCCTATTGAAATTTTTGCTTAATTATATAATCATGACTAGCGACTTAAACTCGCTACTTCGCGTCACAATGTTGGTTGTATATTGATAAAAATAGTTATTGTGAGCGTACCTTAGGAAATACACACATGGTATCGCGGACTGATCTGTAGTCCTTTTTAGACCTACAATTTGCTAGTACATTGTTTAGATGTATCTCTAAAAGTTTAGCCAGCGTTAGCCATATAATCGTGAGACAAAAGTTTTTTAAACAAAACAGTCATTTTGTACAAAATATTTACAAATTATATATATACATAAACCTTCCTCGTTTATCGCTTTTCATATAAGTGAAAACCGTATCAAAATCCGTTGAGTGATTTTGAAGAAATAAGGGGAGAAACAGATAGATGCAAGAAGCGGCTTTGTTTTATACTATGCATAGATGATATGTACTATACATTTTTTTTCCGAAGTAATATATTTTTTTTCCTCAGAGCTCGACGACCCATCACTAGTGACAACAGCGCAACCCTACAAGGGACAGTTCCCACTTGGAGATAATCCGCAGCTGTCGGAGAAATTGAACCATGCACATAACAAGTATAGAGCCATATTGGAGAACACTCTTGCTGGTAAGTTGGTTAAATTTTAAATGGTCGTTTTTAACGTCCCACTGCTCGAAGTGGGTTTTCCTTCAATATGAGGGCAATCAAGCCACAGTCCACCACACTAGCGAAGTGACCACCGGATTTCACATTCTTTTAAAAATTTGCTAGGTTTTCTCAGACATGCAGGTTTCTTCACGATGATTCCCTTCACCGTAAAACAAGTGGTCATCGTGGTGGTGATCATGTTGGAAATGATTCGCACGTGAGAATATCACAGGTGCAAGGACCCGGGATTCGAACCTGCTTCACTCGGTTTTCCAAGCGAGCGTGCTACCACTGGGCTGCCGCAGTATGTATATGTGTAAATATTTATGTTTTCTTGTTTATCCGCAGGATATTGTCTCCCGGATCCATACAACACGCCGCGACTAAGAGAAGTGATTGAAAAGTTCATGACGAGTTTAAGAGATCCTTCTTTACCACTTTTAGAATTGCAAGAAGTAAGTAATCTGTCATACTTATCGATCAAAAAAATACTAGATACACAATCCCATGCAAAAGTTCTGTTAAAACGGTCACAAACTGTGTTTTAGTAATTATTGTAATTGAAATAAATATACAACAATGTAAATTGAACCTTAAATGCAATGCTTAAAGTTGTTTTCACAAAATAATTTTACGACTGAGGCTCGCCGCTTGTCACCGCTGAGCGTCGCTACGCCATGACAAGGAATGAGTGTTTATTACGACTTTATTTAAAAAAAATATCTATCTACTTACCAAATTTTATCTAAATCGGTTCAGTAGTTTCGAAGCCTATTCAGTACAAACAAACAAACAAATCTTTCCACTTTATAATATTTATAATATTAGTATAGATTGTTTGTCCCATTGAAATTCTTTCAGCCATTCCCAATGCAACTTATAAATGAATTTCTAAAAGCTTTGCCTTCATATCCTAAATACTCTAAAATCCTAAATAATCCTACATAAGTATGTATGTATTCAGCCCTTTTAACGTCCCACTGCTGGGGGTGGGCTTCCCTTCAATACTCGGAGGCAGTCCATAGTTCACACTGGCGAAGCGCGGGTTGGATTATGAGTACATATATCTTAAAAATTTCCTAGATTTTCTCAGACATGTTCCCGAAGTTTTCCTTCACCATAAGACAAGTGGTAATCGTGTTTTCAACACAATATTTATCCTAAAATGATGATCCCACCAGGTGCTATCATCGACGTCGGGGCGCATCCCTATCTCCGTGGAGAAGAAAGTGCGCAAGCTGATGGCGCTGTACGAGAGGAACATCACTAGCGTGCTCGCACAGTTCCCCAGCCAGCAGATCGCGAGTGTCATAGATCAGTGAGTTTATTCTTTTTTAATCTTAATCTTTTTATTAATAAAAATATTTTTTTTTTAAATTTAGTTAAGTAATAACTCAAAGGGTCTTTTTTATTATTGTTGTTTATTTTTATATTTTTTTTTCATTTTCATTCATCGCTATGGTTCAATATATGTTTTTGTTTAATATTTAATCCTAATAAATAAAACAAAAAAGAACTATAGATTTTCCCTAAATGTTTATTTGAATTAATACACTATTCAATAGACTATTTAAAAACAAGAATCTTTATTTTAAATATGTATTTGCCAGACCCGAGATTTGAACCTGCTTATATATGCACGGTCTTATAATATTAATAATATTGAATTATACAAAAACTTAAGATATACATACATTTACTGTCTCAAAAATTTCCCTAAAAAAATCACAATTAGAAATTGTGCGCTTTCTTGAAATCTCTTTTGTTCATTAATTTTATTGATTTGATATTAATTTGAAATTGACAAAATTAAAACGCACGTTGTTTCGTTTAAAAAAGTACTTTATGTGGTGTGCGTAAGTTCGAATTTCGTTTAACACAATTAGAACTTTCCATTTTTGAATCGTATTCCTTGGTCTGACTAAACGTCACACGTCGTCGCCACTTTTTGAACAGGTATTTGTTAGGAAATGCGTATCTATAATTTTATATAACAATGAGTAATAATAATTTTATTTAAAATTAATAACTTTATTACAGCCACGCAGCATCACTCTCGAAGCGAGCGGACAGAGATGTGTTCTTCATGAGCACGCAGGCGTTGGTTGTTTTGGTGCAGAGATACAGGTATGTTTGTTTCGTTAGGTAAATGTATGGATTTTTTTTTGGTTTTGTTTTTAGTTTTTTTTTGTAAATAAATATATTTTTGGGTCATATATAGGCGACCTTAATGACAGATGCATATCATGAGTTAAAATGATTTTCAACCCTTCTATGTAGGTTAATTTTAAAGGTATTCTAGTAAATCAGTCTTAGTTACTTGAGTTTACACGACCGACTCGCACTTGGACATTTTAATATTGTATTGATTTTTAGATCTTAAAACAGATATTCCTTGTCTAATTACCACCAAAAGTAATCTATAATAAGACAAGATATTTAAGACTTTGGTTTTTGAATTTAATTTCTAATAAATTGTATACTATTTTTTTTTAAATGATAATTAAAAACTAAAACAAAAAAAGTCAGAATAATTATTGTATTTAATATTTTTTTTAAATTAAATTTAAATTTTATCTTTCTAGGAACGGTATCCGGGGCAGGATGAAGGCGGCGGTTCATGATTTACTCAAACAATACTATCAAGTAGAAAGCAACTTCCAATTGGGTGAGCATGTATATACTTACTGGCTTCGCTCGGGTGCGTCGTTTGCTCACAATTTCAAGGGTTTTCATTTTTATGCGTGGAACCCTAATTCTTTTTCCAAAATAAAGTAGTCTAAGTTACTCCTCATAACATCAGCTATCTGCCAGTGAAAGTCCCGTCAAAATCGGTTAAGCTGTTTCGGAGATTAGCTGGAACAAACAGGCAGAAATTTAAAAAAATGATTTTTTTTACAAGTACCATTTATACATTCATATACATTTAGTGTAAAAAGTTTTATTTTGACATAACAAACAGACATTTCAATTTTATTTATCTGTATATACATAAAATAATAAATTGTGTATAAATTTTATATTTCTTTATCATCATAGGTTCATACGACAAGTGCGTGATGGCGTTGCGCGACCGCTACAAAGACGACATGCAAGCCGTCGCCAACATCATATTCTCCCATAACCAAGTACCTAAGAAGAATTTATTGGTAAGATATTTTTTTGTATGGTAATACCTAAATATTATATTATAGATATTTTGGAAAGTATATTATTTTGTAAGTAAAATTTGTTGTCATGTTATGGAGTTTTAAACATATGAAGTTAAATTTCAATTTTACGATTTTGCGGTTGGGATTAGTTTTTACAATATTTTTTAATACGAATATTTGATATTTCAATTAAAACTATGTTTTCAAATTCACTCGTGGTCTTAATTTGATTATCTATTCTCACCTTTTCTAATCTCAACGAGTCCAAAAATATAATGTTAATTACAATATTGTGTTAAACAAACTATAATAAATAATTCTTAGCTATTAAAAAATAAAAAAACACGGTTTATATGAATATAATAAGCATGTATTCCTCTCGTCCCAGGTCACAATGCTGATCGATCACCTGTGGTCCAACGAGCCGGGCCTCACGGACGAGCTGGCGGCCACGCTCAACGAGCTCACCACGCTGCACCGCGCCGAGCACGGCCGCGTCGCGCTGCGCGCCAGGCAGGTCAGCCAGGGGACTGTTACTCGTTCATCATTACGTGCGGGGGACTGTTTGATTAGGATTTATTACGGCAATGAGCATATTTGCTGCAATGTGCCGGGGACTATGTAACTTCTTAAGATCAACGGGTAGAGGACTGTGAAATTCCGATTTATTTACGAGAATATGCGGAGGACTGTAAGATTTACTGTTGCCACCGGACAAAGAGCTGTGAGACTGTTAGTCGCTTAGATAAACGAAGAGGGGACTGTGAGATTTGGCTCGAATTAGAAACACTCATTAAAGTCAATCAACATGGACGGGACGTGTGATGAATTGTATAATCACTATGATTACCACAAATTTAAATTGTGCGACAATACGTATTAAGTATCCCGTTACTGCTCTGGGTTTTTTAAAATTGCGTTTTTTATCTAATAACATGTATTCGAATTTACCTGAAGTTAAAAAAAAATAATTAAAATAGATTCATTATTGCCAAAGATCTACCGTATACACAAAAACACACTAGATTTTTTAAATATTATGTATCCCACAGGTGCTGATAGCGGCCCACCAGCCCGCGTACGAGCTGCGCCACAACCAGATGGAGTCGATCTTCCTATCGGCCGTGGACATGTACGGACACGACTTCCACCCTGAGAACTTGGAGAAGCTGATCATGTCCGAAACGTCTATATTTGATATATTGCACGATTTCTTCTACCACACCAATGCTGCAGTGAGTTTTGATATTGATTTTATATAATACAAGCCACTCGCATTCGTTTTGATACGGGTTCCAGTCCCCAGGCAAAAACAAATCTATCCCACGGGAACCGTATATTTTTCCGGGATTAAAATTAACCTATGTGCTATTCCTGACTATAATCTAACTCTGTGCCAAATTTCATTCAGATTCGTTAAGCCGTTCTGGCGTCAAAGAGTAACAAACTTCAATCACCAACTCACAAACTTTCACATTTAATATTAGTATAGATTACCGGTGCAAAGGCTCATACCTCTCTCCTTGTGTCTAAGAAATACAAATGTAATATTCATTTTATTGATGACATTTTGTTTAGATTTAATTTTATTATTTGAAAAATAATTTAAGTTTTGTGTTAAATACATGAAATCCCCTCGTTCTCAGGTTTGTAACGCAGCGTTGGAAGTGTACGTGCGTCGCGCGTACACGTCGTACGATATCACATGCTTGCAACACCTGGCTCTGTCCGGAGAGTTGGGGGTCGTTCATTTCCAGTTTGTCCTGCCTACTGGACATCCTAACAGGTATTTTTTTATATAGATATATTTAGTGTAGTCTAAACTATTTTAAAGATAACATTAAGACGTATACTAGGTTTACACGGTACATTGCACGCTTTTTCCATGCCATATATATACTATACACAATTCATTTTTGTAAATAATGATGTTGATCTTGAAACTCTGGTATGGTAGGAGCTTTCATCCATTTAGTCGTTTTAGCGTAAAGGAGTAACAAATATACACACACATACAAATTTTTGCATTTATATGTATGAGTGTTATATATGTATGTATGTACATGTATGTCACTACTTGTTCGATAAAACCTGTACTGTAAAAAATGTGCAGTACAATGTCGTGTGAAACCAGCTGTATATAATTGATTGTTTTATAAACAACTAGCGAATTGTCCACAGAAAAGCGGAACTTTTTGAGCGGAACCCTAATTTATTTTTCTTTCATAAAAGTAACCTAATTTATTCCTTATAACATCAGCTATCTACCAGAGAAAGTACCGTCAAAAACAAACCAGTCGTTTCAGAGATTACCCAGAACAAACAGACAGACAATTTTAAAAATTGTGTTTTTCTTATAAGTACCGTGTATAATTTCATATGCATTCAGTAAAATGCAGTTATTTTGACATACAAACAAGACGTTTGAAATTTCATTTATCTGTATAGATTAAATTTTTATTACTAATTACCATATAGGATACCAATAAGCCAATCAGAGATCGAACTGGCATCAGCTCAAGATCAAGAGGGTGTTCCAGCGGAGCTGTCCACGGCGGCCATGAGGAAATGCCACCATAGAACCGGAGCTCTCGCCGCGTTCAATTCGTTCGAACAGTTCGCTGAATATGCAGACGAATTGCTGGATTTGGTCCACGATTTCGCCAGTTCAGCGACTGTCAGACGTGAGGTAAGAGCGGATGGTTGATAGATTGATCAATTGTTCGATTGTATGGGCGTCGTCAGTTTTGTTTTAAAGAGGATGTTTTTTTATATACATGAAAGTATTGGCTAGTCTTTAAATGATTAACTTTTTATCTTTTATTTTATATATTATTATATAGGAAAAAAAATTTAAATACATATGTGACGAATTTTTTTTTGTAGGCGTCTAAATTGAAATTTTAATTGGAATAATATAATTTTATTTCTTTTTTGTCTGTATATTGTTTTCATCTTTTTCCGACGCCTAAGTTTGATTGGTTGAGCAACTGAAAGATATTGTTGGTTGGTTGATCAACCAATAGGTTTTAATTGTTGTGTTTATGGTTGACAGGATTTACAAGCGTTGCAAGAGGGTAGCGAGAATCGCGATAGTACAAGTATCAATGTTGGGATGGATTTGAAGCCTAACATAGAAGAAGAGGTTGTAAGTATAGATACCTATATCGTTTTTTTTAGTAAAAAACAAAAACAAACCTATCCCACGGGAACCGTATATTTTTCCGGGATAAAAAGCCTATGTGTTATTCCAGACTATATTCTATCTATGTGCCAAATGTCATTAAGATCCGTTCAGCCGTTCTGGCGTGATAGATTAATAAACATCTATACTCACAAACTTTCACATTTATAATATTAATAATACGAATGTTTTATTTTGGTATGTTAACTGTAAAAGTTTTGGCCAAAATTTAGCTTGTTGCTATGTTATCTTTATCAACGGACAGCTATTATAACTGCAAATGTATGTGTGTATGTTTGTTACGCCTTCACGCTGTAACGGCTGGACTGATTTGTATGTTGAACAACAGATAAACTATGAGCTGGAGTAGCACGTAGTCTACTGTTTAGCACCTACTTAGTATTTATATAATAACTCGCAGAAGCGAACTGTAGACTTCGTGAGCACAAGCTGCATTTTGAGGTGCTATTCTCCTCATCACGCCGAAGATCCTCATCAGATCTTCATCAATTTTTTATAAGACTAACTTAAAGTTACTACCTTTCGAATAAAAAAGAACAATCCAAATCGGATCTCATGAGACGGAGATAGCCAGTACTCCTCTAATTTTTTAATTCCCGATGACAAAAAAAACTACAATGTTGTAATACCAATTATGTATATCAAGTTTCGTTCATATCGGTTGTAAAATACGACCTATAGAGGAGTACAAACTGACAGAGGAAAGCAAATTTTGCACGACTTGAAGCGGAGACGCTTTGTTCGCTAGGTTGATAAACGTTTTTCTTAGATATTCCTTCTATTTCCAGCCACTGGAGCCTATCCACATCCTGATGATAGGTATCCGGGACACGGGAGAGAACGACGACGGCGCGGTGTCCAGACGCTTCGGGCACTTCTGTCGGGTGCACGCGCGGGAGTTGCATCAGAAACGGATCAGGCGTATCACCTTCATGTTGCTTATTAAGTGAGTTGCCTTTGATTATGTACATATTGTGATTAATTGGGATTAAAGTATATGTGTTATAGTTAAAGTTTTGTAATTCGGGATTTACATCGACTTTAATTTTTTTATGTTGCGAAAAACAATAACATCCGTGACCATAATTGCTGTAAAGCATTTGAAACATCGGGAACTAAAAATCCAAATAAATCCGCGAAAAAATCCGAAAGGCTAGTTTTATTAAAAAGGATCAGCGATATTAAATTTAATTTTCATTTCCAGACGCCAATTCCCCAAATTCTTTACGTACCGTGCGAGGAACGAGTTTAAAGAAGACACTATATACCGTCATCTCGAGCCTGCATCTGCTTTCCAACTGGAACTGTATAGGATGAGGAGTTACGACCTGGAAGCTTTACCGACTAGCAACCAGAAGATGCATTTGTATTTGGGTAAAGCTAAGGTGAGTGGGATGAAATGGGTTTTGTATGGGAGAAGAGTGGGGGAGGTGTATGATAGGTTAAGTATAGAACTTCATAGATTAAATAATCACTCATTGATGTTAATGGAAATTTTGTCAAATGCAAGAAAAATAATACCAAGTTTCAGGGCAAAACGTTATTTTCTAAATATCTTCTCCATTTTACGTGATATTGGCGATGTAATCTGTGTTCGATTGGTACGCTTGAAGCCGTTGACAATAGAATTGAATTGAAGTAAAAATGCTACTTAAAATTCCCTTTTAAAAAAGAAAAATAAACTTTTTGTGTGTATGTTACGCGATTCTTATTATATTAATTTTCTTTGCATTTTAGAATGGTTCAATTTTATATTAAAGAAAAATCATCCAAAAGTCATACCAAATCCGTCACAAAAAATCAAGTTTGAACAAAACTCAAGTATCCTATATAATACTCCTATCATATAATTATATCACTGATCATCATCACCTGATCTTCCTCATATCTTCTTAATTTTGGCACATTTTGAAGCCATTAACAAGAGAATTGGACTATTTATTCCACCAGGTGAAGAAAGGTCAAGAGGTGACAGACTACAGATTCTTCATCCGCTCCATCATCAGGCACCAGGACCTGATCACCAAGGAGGCGTCCTTCGAATATCTGCAGAATGAGGGTGAAAGGTAATGTAATATTTAGTCTGTATTTATGAAAATGGATGTGTTTTTTCACAGGCTGTTGTTAGAAGGACTAAAAGTTTTGATTTACAAAGCAACTATTTGTATACAGGGTGTTGTTAGAAGCGATAAAAGTTTTGATTTAAAAAGTAAATTATTATACATGGTGTGTTGTTAAGAGGCAATTAAAGTTTGGATTTAAAAAGTAACTTCTTATACAGAATGTTATTAGAATCAATGAAAGTTTTGATTAAAAAAGTAACTATTCTTATACAGGGTGTTGTTAGAAGCAATGGACGAATTGGAAGTGGCGTTCTCACATCAGCTCGCCAAGCGGACAGATTGCAATCACATCTTCTTGAACTTTGGACCTACCGTCATCATGGACACCGCTAAGGTATTGAAATATTTGGATAATTATTAGTAAAAATCCATTTGCTTTCAAATATTGTATCAAAATATTGAAGTATTCTATATTCTAACACATATATTACAGGTATGAACAAATTAAATATTTAATAACTACCTCCTTACCCTTGCTTCGCTTGGATGTGATGTTTCTTTAATTTTTTTTATATCAAGTATAATAATGACTTGAATGAATTCGATTTACTTTTGTTACTCGATTGAATTTTTTTGTCACAAACGTTGTTATTCTGGCATTCCGTCTGTCAAAGTGTATGTAAAATAATAGTTTTATTATTTTAAATTTGTACATGTATGAAGATATATTTAAACAGCAAAGAATAAGATATTTTTTTTCATTTATTTATAGATAGAAGAGTCAGTTCTTAGCATGGTGATGCGGTACGGACCCAGACTGTGGAAGCTCAGGGTCTTGCAGGCTGAGATCAGATTTACATTGAGAATAGGTGAGTTACTTTTAACTTATACTTGTATGGAATAGATAAACTATATATTATTTATATATACATATGTATGATGAGTTGTTGTGGGTTGTATTATTACGTGTTTTCCCGTGGGAATGAGATAATCTGCCGCGATAAAAAGTAGCCTATGTCACTCTCCAGCCCTCTATGTCCACATAAAAAATCACGCCAATCCGTCGCTCTGTTTCCACATCATAGAAGGACAAACACTTTCACATTTATAATATTAGTATGGATATTATTCGTAAAGAGATTAAAATTAAATTCAAAATACATTTACTAAAGGCTTTAGTCGATTACCCATATTATTTAAACAAATTTTTTTATGATTGCAAACGCTTTATTTTTTTCTTTTTGTTACTACTTTTTGTCCATACGTCGATGTAAAGTAGACATACAAAAATAACAATATTATAATGCAGCAGCAGAGTGAGAGGGTTTGATGTGAAACACATTCTGTCTCTTTCACTCTCACTGTTTGATGGGATGATAATTCAACTAAAAATGTAAATACTGCCAACTTCCTAACTCCAGACTGCTACTGAAAATTAAAAAGACTATAGAAACTATTACCTGTCCGACTTAACTATGCACTTGGCACTATGACGTCACTCTGACCGTATAGTTTGCAAAAAAGTCAATTTCTTTTAAATATTTTTGACGAAACCGGTTTTCATGGTGTCGCTATTCAGAGGTCTCGGGTTCGATTCCCGTTTGGGCCAATATGGAAAACGAACTTTTCTATATTGAATGGGGTCTGGGTGTTGTGGTACCGTCGTTATTTTTGATTTCCGGGTTTTCTGGACGGGTTGTATAGCTAAAATTATACCGACCCGGGACTCGAACCCAGGACCTCCGGATCTGCAATCGTACAGCTATCCAATAGTTATATGGTACTACTAGCGACTTATCTTAGTTTTGCTCTGGTGCGTTCTTAGGTGCCTTTTATATTGGAATTATTATGTACAAACAGCCTTTGATATACTTTATTAGTAACAGTAGCATATATATTTCTCCAGCTCAAAGACTGCCAGTGTACTAAATCTCATCCGAAACGATTCAGCCGTTACAGCGTGAAGGAGTAACAAACATACAAACTTTGACATTTATAGTAATCATTCTATAATTATATATAAATTACAGGTCCCGGCGCACCAACAAAGAATGTCCGACTGTGCCTCTCCAACGGTTCGGGATATTCGTTAGACATATACACGTACGAGGAAGTCATCGACCCGAGGACTGGAGTGGTCAGTATCTAGGAACTATGTAAATGAATCTAGACTTTCTGTCTTAGAAGCACTGTAGAAGATCTACTGACATTTTAAATAAAACTATCTTCTCGGATTTTTCGCGAATTTATTTTGATTTTTGGTTCCCGACGTTTCTAAAATAAAATAGCCAAGTTCTCTCCTTATAACATCAGCTATCTGCCAGTGAAAGTCCTGTCAAAATCAGTCCAGCCGTTTTGGAGGTTAGCCGGAACAAACAGACAGACAAAAAAAAATTGAAAATTGTTTTTTTTTTCTTATAAGTACCGTATATATACTTTCACTACGCATTTAGTAAAAAGCTGTTATTTTGATATTACACACAGACACTACAATAGTTTTTTTCTACGGCTACTAAAAATACGATTAATTTTTCAAAAACCTGTTTTATTTAATATTATATAATAAAAATATGAATAAGTTTTGTTTGTTTATATATTATAAGTAATTATTTAAATTTTTCCAGATAATCTTCCAATCGTTCGGTCCCAAGCAGGGTCCCATGCACGGCCTGCCCATATCCACTCCATACGTCACTAAGGACTACTTGCAGCAAAAGAGATTCTTGGTTTGTTTATTCGTTTTATTATTAGTTTATTTAAAGTTGGTTTTACATATAAATTAAATGTATTGTAAGTTTGTGGGGAAGCCCCTTCTATTTTCAAAGCTTTGATGGCCATTTCTGCTGAAAAGAGCAAAAGGGAAGTGAGCCTAAATCTTTTTTTGGAATATAATGGTTTTTTTTCTCTATTGAATCTATGTATTAAGAAGAGGTATTTTCGTTTTTCATTTTTAACTAAAAATAATGATTATTTTTAAACCATTTTTTTTTTAATATAAAACAATACGTTATTTTATACTTTTTTTTATTTCATAGGCGACGTCCCAAGGAACAACATACGTGTACGATATTCCGGACATGTTCAGACAGGTTGTGGAGAAAAGGTGGCGGGAATGTATTGAGGAGGGATCTGTGGATGGTGAGATTTTAGAAGTTATTATTATTGATATTTAAATAAAATTTGGCACGCGGATTACCCATGTCCCTCGAGAAACACAAGAAAATAGGTGCTTTTTACATTATACAATAGGGAATATGCGTGTTTTATTTTTTTTATTTTTTTATACAATAGCTAACATAATATACGTAAAAAAAATATATGCATGTTAACTAAAAGTCAGTGTCGGACCACGTCCTTCAACTTCATTAGTTCATGAGTATAGAAACCGTTAGTTCTAAGCATACATAACATGTTATCGCCAAAATAAAAATATTGTAAAATTTAATAAAAAAGGGCACGGGCAATTAGAGCCTGTGGATGTATTATTTATATGAAAAAAAAAACAATATACCTAGCAAGTTTTCGAAAGACATGTGCAGTCCGCCAACTCGCACTTAGCCAGCGTGGTGGACTGTGGCCTGATGCCTATTATTGAAGGGAGGCCCAGCAGTGGGACGTTAAAAAGGGATGATTATATAACAGTTTATAAATAGACATTAAACAGAATAAAACCGCTGTTTAGTTTTACATAAGCAATAAATAACACAAGACAATAAACAGGTAAAGGACATCCGATATCCAACCGACTGCTGTGACTCAGAATTTTACGCAAGGAATCAAGTTGAGATTCATGCGTACGCGCACGTGAATCATAGGGAAAATATGCACTATTTCCCCATCCCCCTTGTATTGAAGGGAGGCCCACGCCCAGCAGTGGGACGTTATAATGGCGAAAATATAATTATTATTGTAATAAACGTTTCCCTTTTATTTAGGTCCACCGCCGGACAACGTGATGACATGTGTAGAGTTGGTGGTGGAGTCCGATGGCGAGAGACGTGTGGTGGAAGTTACCAGACTGCCGGGACAGAATACCGTACGTTTGTGTTTACATTTTAAATAAAATTGTCTTTTCGGATTCTTATGCTTCGAATGCTTTACAGCAACCATGTTTAGCAAAAATCAAAGTAAATCTGCGAAAAAATCCGAAAATATTATTTTATTTAAAATGCTCAATAATTACTGATTTATCACGAAATCCCTGACAGTGTAAATTATACAAACTTAACATTTTGTAAATATATTCCTCATAGAGAGGTATATAATATAAAGGAATATATTTTAGTTAATTAAAAATAAAATTATGAATAATACTTTGACAGGTGGGCATGGTGGCGTGGCGTCTGACCCTGTTCACGCCCGAGTGCCCCGCGGGCCGGGACATCGTGCTCATCGCCAACGACCTCACGTACTACATGGGGTCGTTCGGGCCGCAGGAGGACTGGGTGTACTACCGCGCCTCGCAGTACGCGCGCGACCTCAAGATACCTAGGGTTGGTTTGTTTAGGGTTCATGTGTTCATAATTCATAATGTGAAAGTGTGTTTGTTTGTTTGTCCTTCTTTCACGTCGGAGTGACGGTATGGCGTGATTTTCAGATTCTTTCGTTTGAAAGGTGACTTGATCGAGAGTGTTCTTAGCTATAAATTAAGAAAATCTGTTCAGCCGTTTGCAGGCTGTCAGCTCTTTTCTAGACGGTAAAAGAATATGAGCAAGGTCCACAAATGTAATCCATTCGAAATTTGGTATCCCGTTACTTCAAGACATTGCAACGATATGGTAACCTTGGCCTGATGCTGCAGCGTCACTTGGAATCTGCGAGATACTCAACTATTCACTAAAATACTGCAGAAATATCGTGTTTAAACTCATTGAAATGACCTCGAAGAATAGGTTGAATATGTTCTTGTGTTGGGTTTTTTTCTTTTATTAAGTTTGTCCTAAATAATATTTATAATATACTACAGCAGTTCACCCTCACTTCGTCCGGGTTCGTAGTTAATAGTTGCTGGTTAATAGTTGTTAACTAGCGTTAGCCATATAAATTTGAATTTTTCCGTTAATTTACTGATGTTTTAATACTTATTATCCTATTCCGGACTAAGAGAAATCCAAAAAAATCAAATATCATAAAAATTGGTCCAGCCGTTCTTGAGTTATAAATGGTGTAACTAACACGACTTAGTTTTATATATGTATTTACCTTATTTCATATTTTTTCTCTTTATTAAAAACTTTCCGTGTACCATAAGGAACATATGAAAAGAATTTAGATCAGTTGGTCGAGCCGTTCTCGAGTTTTGCGCTTAGCAACATTCATTTTTATTTATATATAGATATAAAAATGCAATCCTGTGTATTCATTTTGCAAGCTATTTTTATTTTATATGTGTTTGATTGTAATTTGTTTTGTGGACCATAAACATAAATAAATAAATAAATAAATATGGGGTTTCGTAATTTTAACTAATTAATATTCCAACAGATATACGTAAGCGTGAATTCTGGAGCTCGCATCGGTGTGGCGGAAGAAGTGAAGTCCGAGTTCAAAGTGGCCTGGATAGACTCGGAGAGGCCTGAGCGTGGGTTCAAATACTTGTATTTGAGTCCCGAGGCCTTCTCCAGATTGGGGCCTTTGAATTCTGTGAAGACCCAACTGATCGATGATGAGGGTGAAGCGAGATACAAGATTACAGATATTATTGGTGTGTATAGGTTGTTTTTTTTTGGTATTTTATGGGTTTTTGGGAATTGTACTTGTAATTGTTTTATTTTTATAACTTTTAGTTTGTTCAGATTATAAACGTAAGTGATATCAAATGTTCCATTTATTAGATTAAAAGAAAATAAACATAGTATTAATACGTTGTTATTTTGAATATTAATTATGACATTAATATTGAAAATTATTCTTTTTTAAAACGTAGTTTGATAAATCCGACTCGCACTTAACCGAATATTATTATTTAATCCATAATTTAAACATAAATACAACGTTGACGACACGTTTGGCTCTGTTTGTAGTGACCCTACTTTCTGTGCCAGCGGTGGCGGGTTTGAGGCCCGCTGGGCATTCATTTGTGTGATGATCACGAATGTTTGCACTCCAGTCGTGGGTGTTAATATTTATAATATGTATGTATTTAAAGTTATATATGTGTAGTGTATCAGGTATCCATAACACCAGGGAACTAGATGGTGCTGTGTATGTGCCAACATATATTTTTATTATTTATAACAACAGGCAAGGAGGACGGTCTCGGCGTGGAGTGCCTGCGCGACGCCGGCCTCATCGCGGGCGAGACGGCGCAGGCGTACGAGGACGTGGTCACCATCAGCGTGGTCACCTGCCGGGCCATCGGCATTGGGGCATACGTTGTGCGGTCTGACATACTCACATATTTTGTTCTGCTCATGTGTATTGGATGGGTTCGAATCCCGGGTTAATTTAGGTCGTAGTAGCCTTGGATTTTGAGTGTTATTTGAGTGAGATTTAGAGTGTCGAGGCAGAGAACGTAAAACCGGTCGTCGGCGGTAGTGTCGTCTCATCGAAATTTGAGTGACAGGCGGTTATATATATAATAGAGTGTATGTTGTGTCTGCTCCATATTGTATAATATCTCTCGATTCTATACCACAATATAAAAATCCATACAAGCGCTGTAGTGCCATCTCGTGACAACCATTTCCCGAATGTCATATAAGACAAGTGTCAAGAAAATATAACAGACAGTATAAATTAGTAGACTCGTGTCTTATCAATTGTATGTGACATTGCCGAAGTGTATTCAGCCCTTTTTAACGTCCCACTGCTGGACGTGGGCCTCCCTTCAATACAAGGAGGATCAGGCCATAGTCCACCACGCTGGCCAAGTGCGGGTTGGGGGACTTCACATATCTTTCGAAAACTTGCTAAGTTCCCTCAGACATGCAGGTTTCCTCACGATGTTTTCCTTCACCGTAAGGCAAGTGGTAATCATGCTAGAAATGATTCGCACATGAAAATATCAGAGGTGCGAGACCCGGGATTTGAACCCGCCTCACTCGGTTTCCCAAGCGAACGCGTTACCACTGGGCTAGCACTGCCTTTTTTTTACCTAAACTGGTACACTTTAAAGCAATTTAACAAGACGATTGATTTGTTTAGTAAGATTTGCTAATGCTGTACAAAACTAAATATTTTGACCAAACTAATTCTCTCTCCAGACTCGGCCATCGCGTCATCCAAGTGGAGTCGTCGTACATCATCCTGACCGGCTACGCCGCCCTCAACAAGGTGCTGGGGCGCGCGGTGTACGCCAGCAACAACCAGCTCGGTGGCGTACAGATTATGCACAACAACGGTGTGACGCACGCCGTCGCGCCCACTGACTTGGAGGCGATACGGACTGCTGTTAAATGGTTGTCGTATGTGCCTAAGGTGAGTTGTGGTTGTGGTGGTGGGTGATGTGTGATGTGATGGAGTGAAGTGTGATGTGATACGATGAGGTCGATGAGATAGGATGAGCTGTGATTTGGTAGAGTAAGATGTATACAGCAAATATAAGCTAGGTGGTATATAGATTGTGTACAATAAGTGTTTGATACATATCGTCGTGCATACTGATTTGAAAGCGATATGGACTACTGTGAAGGGGCTGTTTTATTTTCCGAAGGTGAGTTGTAATGGGATAAGATAAGATGTGATGTGATAAGGTGAAGAGTGAAGAGGTAAGGTGTGATGTGATAGACTGTGCTGTGATGTGGTATAGTGAAGACAATTTTTAATTTTACATTATTTTTCATTACATTTTTTGTAAATAAATCTTCAAGTTAGTAATATAAGTATTTAAGTAATGTGTCCAACTCTTTTTAACAATATACTGTCGGACATGGGCCCAATTCAAAACTCAGTTTTGAATCGATTTACCACTGCCTTTTTTTATTAAAGCAATATTTTATTATTAATAAATAATTATTTCATATTCTTTTAACCCTCCAGGACAAACTGAGCATGGTCCCCATAATGCACAGCGCGGACCCCATAGACCGACCGGTGGAGTGGACGCCGCCCCGCGCCGCCCACGACCCTCGTCTGATGCTCACAGGGGATAGCTCCAGGGCGGGATTCCTAGATCATGGTAGCTTTGATGAGATCATGAAGCCCTGGGCCCAGACTGTGGTTACTGGTGAGTAGATTCTGTAGCAACTGCTGAGTTTCTCTTGGGCTGTTCTCAGCGGAACTGGCTGCCGAGCCGGTGGTAGACTCCTCACGGACTTACATACTGATATTTAAATTAAAAGATGTAGAAATCTATTTGAATAACGTATATTTTGATTTGATTTTATTGTTTTTGAAGTTAGGTTTTTTTTGGTCGAAAATATGTGTGTTTTTTTTGTTCTGTTTTTTGAGTTTAGATACCTTTAATGAGATCGTGAAGTTTTTTTTTCCATAAAACCTCATACGTAAATAAAGATATTGGTCACATCTATCTATCTACCCAGCCGCTTTCAAGTGATGTGGTTATAATTTATTTTTAACGTTGGGAAATGCATTTACGCATACCACCTGTAAACATACACATACAGGTGGTTATGTGGTACTCACCGGATAGAGAATCTAGTACTACCTACTAAAACGCAACAGAACATTCCCTTGTCTTAAAGGGAGCCGCGTTTGTGATGGCTAACGTTTTTACATATATATTTTTTTCTACCCCAGGTCGAGGTCGTCTAGGTGGCATTCCAGTGGGAGTGATAGCAGTGGAAACCCGCACAGTGGAGTTCACGTTGCCCGCCGATCCTGCCAACCTAGACTCCGAAGCCAAGACCGTACAGCAGGCTGGTCAGGTGAGATGTCTGTCTTCTGTTCTATCTTATCTATAATCTTCTTTAAAAATAAAAGCCTAATATCAGTCACTGATTAATCATGAAATCTCAGGAAGTGTGATTACTACAAATTTGAAATTAAGGGGTTGAAAGTTTGTATAAAAATCTGTTATTTCGTAGTCTCAGTGCTTATTTGTCCAAACGACGAATTCAACAAAAGAGTTTATACAGAACTAGCGACTCATCTTCGCTTCGGGTTCGTCCCTAGACAAAAACAAATCTATCCCACGGGAGCTGTGCATTTTTCCGGGATGTCTCAATAAACAGGCTATATAATGCAAAAAAAAATGTCTTGAGATTAGTGCGTTCAAACAAACAAACAAACTCTGCATCTATAAATAATAATTAGTATAGGTTATTGAATTTTATTGAAATTCTATTAAATACACATTTTTCTTTTATAAAAAATATCTAGATCAAAAATCCGAAAAAAAGTATATTGTCTATATGTATATAAATATCTATCTAGAGCACGTTTTCTAGAGGCGAACCCGAGCGAAGCGAGGGTGAGCCGCTAGTTAGATATAAAGTTTTGTTTTTAACATACAGGAAAACACCCTGTAATATAAAGTATTGGTAGTTTAAACAAATAAGCATGTAGGTGACGATGTAAAGTGATAGTGGGCCAATTTGGAAATAATTCCGATTAAAAATACGCACCATTCTATTTGAAAGTTTAAGTGAGTACAACTTTTGGGGATGAATGGTGTGATGACATATTACGTGAAATTAAAAATGTCGTCACTACACGACTCTTTCTGTTGTAGGAATCGGCTAAGAAGACTATCTATACAGATAAATAAAATTAAAGTATCTGTGTATAATGTCAAAATAACAGCTTTTTACTAAATGCGTATGAAATTATATACGGTACTTAGAAATTTTAGTAATAATAAGATCTTATCGATGGTTTTTTTCTGTAAAGAATAATTTAGTTAAATATATTATTTTTGCACTAGGTATGGTTCCCCGACTCTGCCTACAAAACAGCTCAAGCCATCAACGACTTCTCCCGTGAAAACCTGCCAATACTCATATTCGCTAACTGGCGAGGATTTAGTGGTGGACAGAAAGGTGTGTAATTTTTATATATATTTATTTTGTTCATAAAGTATGTCTTTATATTATATTAGTGTTATGTAGGAAAATATTACACAAAGAAATTATTATTATTTGTGTGGCGAAATCTTATGGGATAAATAATGGTTAAAAAATGTCCCAACGAAGTCACAGTAAGGATTTTAATATAATTACTAATTCATTGTGAACATTTTAATACTATTGTAAAAATACAATCAATTTTGAATAAAAAAGTACACTCTAATTGAATACCATATTAGGTGAGTCTTCACGTTAAAAGTCGACGAAGATCGTAGCTAATAATCTCATTTTCTTTTATGTTTCCATTTTCAAAGACAGTAAAGAACAGCTAATTAGCTGTCTCCCCCACTTTTGTCTCTTTCTCCCTCTCTCACGCTCACTCTGTTTTCCTCTCTATTGTTTTTCCCTTTCTCTCCCTCTGTCCCTGCAAAAGGAAATATGATGTAACGATCTCTCGCATCTCCCGTCTAGACATGTACGAGCAGATCCTGAAGTTCGGCGCGGAGATAGTGCGCGCGCTGCGCGGCGCCGCGGCGCCGGTGCTGGTGTACGTGCCGCCGGGCGCCGAGCTGCGCGGCGGCGCCTGGGCCGTGGTGGACCCCAGCGTCAACCACGCGCGCATGGAGATGTACGCCGACACCGACGCCAGGTGCGCACCATATATTTGCATATTCATTGGTGTAAGCTTTTTAAATATGGAGGGCAGAAGTACCCTCCATATTCTTAAATAAAACTATCAAATCCAAATAAATCCGCAAAAAAATTCGAAAAAACAGTTTTATTCAAAATGACAAATATTCGCGTAAATCTAAGAAAGTATTCGGGGTGTATGCTTATTTACAACTAGCAGAACTCGCGCTAAAACTGCAAATAAAAAAAACTCTAAAAAAGTAGTTTTCGTACAAATTTTCATTTCTCTATTTTACCCTCTTATATGATTAATTTTGATAGATGCCAAAACAAGTGATTATTTAATTGTATTGAAGAGCGTTAATATCAAGTTTTAATTAATTCCGATCGTAAATATTTTTTTGGATTGTATTATATTTATAGCGTGTTATCCCGTGGGAATGCAAAAACCTTCCTCGGTAAAAAGTAGCCTATGTCGCTCTCCAGCCCTCCAACTATCTCCGCACAAATAATCACGCCAATCCCTCACTCTGTTTTGACGTAAAAGAAAGACAAACAAACAAACTTTTTCACATTTATAATATTAGTATAGATAAAGAAAATTACAAATATACTTAATTATACATAAAAACAAATGTACGCTTCATTATTACTGTACAAGTCATGTCGCGGAATTGTGGCAAGAATGCTAGCCGCATTCCCCCGTTGAATGGCAATGCCGATTCTTTGGGCGATGAACGAGTCAGCTCTCCTGTCACTAGTAGAAGCGATAAGACGAAGTGTTGTTTTAAGAAGTGTTTAGAACTTTGACTCCATGAAAAAAAGCAAAGAATAAAAATAAAAAGAAATAAGCGCACAATTTCGAAAAATGCGCTTCTTTTTGGGACACTTTTGAGGCACGAATTGTGTATGTTAAGTTTTTGTATATCAAAGCATACAGTAAATAGTTTCATGCATGTTTTTGTTTTTATTTATATTTAACTAGCTACTCACCCTCGCTTCGCACGGGTTCGTCCCTAGGTTGCTTCCCAATATAAACTTTTAACCACTTTAAGGGATGGTTACCGGGACAAAATGTACCCTAATGTCCTTCCCAGGGTCTCAAACTATCTTCTTACCAAATTTCATCTAAATCGGTTCGGTAGATCCAGAGATTACCCTCTACAACGTCACAAACTCACAAACTTTACCTCTTTATAATATTAGTATAGATTAGTATTATTTTTTATTTACAGAGGTGGCGTTCTAGAGGCCGAGGGTATTGTGGAAGTGAAGTTCAAGCAGCGTGACATACTAAAAACTATGCACAGATTGGATCCAGAATTGTTGAGATTGGGAGCGAGATCCGCTGGTAAGTTGCTAGCTTATAGCATTTTTTTAGGGTTTCATAACAAAAGGTTAAAGGAATACTTATAATCTCTGTCTGTCCGTATATGACAGCCATTTTACTGAAAACTCGAAAACAATTATTATAACTACATGTAAACCGCTACACAATATTGTAGCCACATTAACAACAACAAAAAATTGGATTGGCCCTTATACATGGTGTGAAAGTGAGGGGTGTTTTTTTATGAAGTCTGCATAAGCGTATGGGGTACATCTCTATAGTTTTTTTTAAAATACAGACCTAACTAACAAATAATTAAAAAAATGAAATAATACGTCTTTCAAAATATTATTTTTTATTATTTACAACATAATTCGTCGACACGTATAGCTCTGTTTGTAGTTGCTACTTGCTGTGCCGGCGGTCGCAGGTTAGAGTCTCGCTGGGGGCATTCATTTGTGTGATTAGCACGAAGTTTTAACGTTTCAAGTTATATATGTGTTGTGTATCAACTGTCTGGTATCCATAACACAAGCCTCGTAACTTACCTTAGATCTATATGGTGCTGTGTGTTAATGTCCAAACATATTTATTTATTTATCTCTTATACAATATTATTATATTTTTATTTTTGGCTACAGATTAAAAATATATTTTTGTTAACAGAAATAAAAGAACAGATAAAGGAACTTTCGAAGAATCTAGACCGACGTGGCTCCATCGACGATGTGCTCGTAAAAACTGATGCGGGTCGACAAGGTAACTGAATTTTATGACCCAATTCTTTAAAATTTCCTTTTTTAATATTAAAGTTAATGTTTTAGCCAAATTGTTAATGGTATTATATTATTTTATTTTTTTAAACTATGAAAATTAAACACTTTCTTAGATTTACGCGAACATTTCACATTTTATTATAGCTGTTACAGAACGTCTGGAACCAAAATCTATACATACAATAAAATTGGAACTAAGCCGAATCTGTATATTAAATATTTTTTGGGAAATCTTATTGAAATAGACATTATCGTCGATACAGAGGCCGATCTATAGTTTTTAGAATTTTTGTCTGTCTGTCTGTTACCGCACACAAACCTACACAGAAAAACTACGTGAGGGATTTTGATGAAATTTGGTATGGTTATAGCTACTTATCCGGGTCGACTTATAGTATACTTTTTACCGCGGGAAAATATCTAATTTCTGAGAAAAAATACAAAAACTGGTTATAATAAAACCACGATGATACTAAATATATTTTAGCAAGGTAAATGACTAAATAAGGCAAAATTATTTAAAAAAAAATAGCAATAGCGCTATTTTATTTGGTTTTTGGTCATCTGAACGCGGGCGGAGCCGCGGGCAATGCTAGTACAAAATAAATTCTCGGAAAAATCTGAAAAGATTTAATTAATAAAATTTAATATTATAGAATATTTTATATTTTGTTTTTGTCGAAAGTTAATTGAAAACTTCTTCTTTTCAGCTGAAACTCGTGTACGTGAACTAGAGGCCGAGTTGTTGGCGGCGGATAAGGCGATGAAAGCTAAGGAAAAGGAATTGGGACCTATATACCATGAGGTAATTAATATATTATTTATTAAAAAAATATATAAAAAATAACATTTCTGTTGTCATAGATTAGTATAATGCATTTCAAGGGAAAATTCCACCATCAAGGGTGGAATTACTTTTGAAGTCATTTGATGTACTGTTTTAGTGAAATGTTTTATATTTTTTTTTATTTTAATATATTGTAATATTATATTATGTTTGAAATAGAAGATGAAGATATCTATTTGTTTAGGTAATTTAAAACTAAATTTATTCTATATTATGTTGTTACAGATCGCGGTACAATTTGCAGAGTTACACGACACTGCAGAGAGAATGTTGGAGAAGGGCTGTATATTTGTGAGTATTGGTTTTACAAATTATTTTGAGCTCGGGTGTATATTAGTTTTATTAACCCCCCGACGCAAATACGACGGGGTGTTAGGGGGCATCCATTAATTACGTGAGACAATTTTGGGCGATATTTTGATTAAATAAATTAATTTTCAGAAAATGGGAGTTTTAGTAAAATTGGTATATCAAAATAACAAGACCATAGTTTTTTTTAAATTCCTCTCAAATATTGGTTATTTTATCTACTTTCAATATATAAGTTGATATTATGGTGAGCGCCATTAAGACAGTGTAACTCAAAAACACGGTTTCCGTCGGCTGGATGCATTTTGTATTACTACGTCCATATGTCGTGTGATCCCGCAGGACATAATCCCGTTGCGTAGTTTTAAAGATGTAAGCATACACAGGGACATACAGACAGACAGCGGTAAGCGACTTCGTTTTGTGACTATGGAGTGATTTCATATGTCGTCCCCAGGATATAATCCCGTGGCGCTCGTCCCGGCGGCTGCTGCACTGGCGGCTGCGGCGGCTGCTGCGCCAGAACGCGCAGGAGGCGCGCGTGCAGGCCGCCGCCGCGCCGCCGCGCATGGACCAGCGCGCCGCCGCCGCCACGCTGCGCAGGTGGTTCACCGAGGACCAGGGGGAGACGCAGGTGGGTGACGTGTGGCACTCGGAGACTGCCGCGGTAAAGCTATTGCATAGCATTTTTTATCAACTTATGCAATTATAATTATTTATTTAGCTGAACTAAAGAGACAAGCGTGATATTTCAAAAGTCATTAAAAGTTCTGGTATTTATCGATAGATGGAAGTATCACCGCTGTGCCGGTCGGAGTGGGGGGTGTCAGGTTTTTTTCGTTACGGAATTTCTGGATTCGGTCCCCACGCTCAAGGCCCGCGATAGAAGCTATGCAATAGCTTAAAAGAGTCTTTAGATAGTATATTTTTGACTTCAATGAAGAATTTATACCTCTAAGGTGGTCCCATATATTAATTTTTTTTAGCTTTTCTGTAGTTTTTATTATTCTTTAATCAGATTACTTGTTTTTGGGTTAACTATTTGTTTATTTGCATTACATACAAATTTCTAGACAGATATCGTTTTATTTTATATAATTTTTAACTATAGCCCGATGTTTACTAAAATCTTAAATAATATAGCAAATAAAATATCAATTTTTTCCCCCTCACAGTCCCACCAGTGGGAGCACGACAATGAAGCAGTGTGCAAGTGGTTGGAAGCCCAAGCGGCGGATAACGACTCGGTACTAGAAAGGAATCTCAGGGCCATCAAGCAGGATGCTGTGCTGCAGGAGGTCAATAGGATGGTCATGGTAAGTTATGGGGTTCCTACCATGGGGTTCTTACCATATATATAGACATACATATATAGATACTTATGTGCGCCCGTAGTTGCTTATTTTATTTATAATATTATAAATAGCTAGCTAGCGCGCTACTTTTTGTTAAATTTTATTACTAACAGCAGATGTCTTATTTCCTCAAAATCTGTTCAGCCATTTCAAGGTGAAGATGTAACAAACATACACACATCAATATTTACATACATACTTTCATGTTTATAATTGAAATGTAACTTTATTATGTTAATTTTGTAGGTAGGTATTGTCTGTGGCAACTATATAATGATCTTAGAGACGTCTACAACCTTAGTCTCTCCCGTGACCATGGTTGATGTAAAGCTTTCGAAATGTCGGGAACCAAAAATTGAAATAAATTTGGGAAATAATCCGAAAAGATAGTTAGAATTATAAACATTTAATATAGTGTAGTGTTTTATTATCTGTGCAATTTTTTTTTCAGGAACTAACGCCCTCTCAACGCGCAGAGTTCGTAAGAAACCTCACTGCCCTAGAAATGGAACCAGATTTTAACAATTAGCGTTATTTATTTATTGTTAGTATATAATTGTTATACAAATGCGATTTTATATTATATATATTCTTAATGTATATTATTTCTTTCCTAAATGCTTTAAAATATTAGAAAAAAGGTTGTCTCTCTCTGAACTTTTTTGTTAAAACGGTTTTTTCGTCTGGTGTATTTTTTTTTAAATTTTAGTCGTTCGATCGTATGGCTGAGGACCAAAGTGTATTTTGTTTTTTTTTTTTAAGTTTTTTTTATTGTGATTAATTCAAATATGCAAATGAAATTGTTATTCCGAAAACATTCCTTATTTTATTTATTTTTTATTTAAAAAAATGTGTTTTAAAAAAAATACAATTGAACATTTCTATATTTTTTTTATTGTAATATACTTATTATGCAATAATACGATATATACAATATATATAAAAATTATGTGTTCCTTATAGATGTTTATGAATCATGACATTATAAAATAAGTAGATAAATTATCCCGAAACGTTACCTATTTATGTGTATAGTTACATCAAAATAGGTCCGTCCGTGAAGAATTTTGTTAGAGAATACACTTTTCTATACATTTAAAGTGAGCAAAATCAAACAGACAGGACGTCTTTTTAGTTCATGTGTGATAGTTATTTTTGGGGGGGTTTTATTTAATTTTTATTTTAAATATATATTAAATACAGTGTAGATAGTTCATCGTGGATGTCTGGTTGGACGAAATTTTGGACCATATATTTTGAAGTAAAACTTGTTTAGGCGTGACTGAGGGGTACGTCTATACGTTGGGAAAATGATGTCGCGGAAGTGAGTGTCAGATTTATTATTAATAAATTTATAATAATTGTTACATAAAAAAATGAATGTTTTTTATTAATAATTTCATAATAATAATAATAAATTTTATTCATAAATAAGGAAATTGAACATAGAACATAGTCATTTTATAGTAAAGGTTTTATTATAATATTTATAATTTGATTTGTGTCACAGCTCCGAAGAAGTTTTACTTCAACCGCGCGTAAACGTTACACGTGCACATTTTTTTTGTTATATTTAATTAAATTATAAATTTAATATATTTTTTATTAATGCTGTATTGAAATAATTACAATCGATTTTAATAAAAAAAAATGTTTTAATTATTTTTTATGATAAAATACAATATATGTCATCGATCAAACTAGCAAGCAACTAGATACACAATCAGCGACCAAACAAATGACCTCACCGAATGAGCGCTCATTTGAATATTTGAGCGCGCTTTTAATTTTTTTTTAAAACATCTTTAAGCATCGCATTTAAGGTTCAATTTTCATTGTTGTATATTTCAAGTAGAATAATAACCTAAACACGATTGGTGACAGTTTTAAGAGAACTTTTTGCATCGGATTGTGTATCTAGTAGTTTTTTGATTGATGCATATATAAGTTGTTATATATATATATAACTTTTTTTTCGAGGGTAGGAGTGAAAGACGACACACGATTTTTAACAGCTGTTTTTTATTTATATTATTATAAAGTATTTTTCAATCGTTTTTACAACTTAATATGTGTTTGTAAGTTAGGCCTACTACCTGCAAGAGTTATCCTTTATTTATTTTCACTGTTTTCTTCACTACATATTACAATGGAGTCCATTAAGGAATCACTATCTGCACTCACTGATATGTTCAATGCGAGGATGAACGATTTCCAGCAAGACTTAAATAAGACCTCATCACCTGTCACAAATCATTCTTTACCAGTGGAATTCAGTACCTTTAGAAGTTTTATTCTCTCTGCGCTGAATACCTTACAACGCCAGGTTGAATGTCTAGCATTAGAAATTGACCGGCAAGAAATGCGAAGGCGGCATAAAATGATATTATTTCATGGAGTGCCGGAACAGAAGGTCGAGGACACAACAGCAAAGATTACTGGTTTGGTCGCTGAACACCTGGACTTGTCAAATTTTTCTTCTGCAAGTATTAAGCAGACCTACCGCTTGGGTCGTTCCTCTGATAAACCTAGACCGATTGTCGTAAAGTTTTCCGATACTGCAGTGCGTAATAAGGTATGGTTTAGCAAAACCAAACTTAAAGGGACAGGCATCACACAGTCCGAGTTCCTTACAAAGAGCAGACATAACACCTTCTTGGAGGCTCGGCAACGCTTTGGTATTGGCAAGTGCTGGACACGCAATGGGTATATCCATATAATTGCTTCTGATGGTTCTAGGCATCGTGCAGAATGCAAACTGGATCTCAACTCAATTTCTTCCAATCAGACTAAATCTCCGACGCAAATTCCAGTTGCAAGTAAGAATACGGATAAAGTGATAGTTTCACGCGTTAAACGTGTAGTAAAAAAATAATTTGTGTTACTTTTTCTATTTTCTATGCAAAAAGTTATTGTTATTCCTTTTAATATTCAAAACAGTTCAGTTCTTTATTTCATATTATGTTTCTTGTTTGTTTATTTTTTGTTATGATTAGGTTGTCATTACTGGATTTCATAGATTAAAACATAAATTGTCAATAGACAACCAACCTCTGTACTGTTTGTATTGTCTATGTAATTAGTGTCTATGGTTGCATAATTTGTTTACTTTCATATTTAATGTTACACTTGTTTAATTCGTTGTTTAATGTTACTTTTAATTAATTTAATATTTTGCTTTTAGATTTATTATTTATTTGTGGATTGCATTATCTTCCTGTGTTGTGTTCGAACTTTTGTTTATGAAGTTATTTTCCTTCTTCTCTTGCAACTGGTGGGTAAGTAGGTTTAAAAAGTATACTTACGCATTATTACATTACATATCTTTTTACATATTATTATATACAAATTTTAGTATTATCTTTTTATATATAAATATTAAAAAATATATCTTTATTAATATTTTTTATTTTATTGTTTTTTTTTCTTTAGTTTTTTTTTTGTGTATTTTATATATTTGTTTGTACGTATTTATTTATTTATATTTTATAATATATTTACAGTCTATTATTACTTTATTTTGCATACATAATGTATGGAGATAATAGCTTGAACGATTCTTTTCTATCACTTTCCTCTAACTCTGAAAGTCCCAGCAGCAATGACAGCTTTTGTAGTATCCCCGCCCTTAATGATACACTTGATTCGCATTTCTCAGATGCTCTGAAAACTTTTAACTTAATTCATATTAATGCACAGAGTATTCCAGCACACTATCCTGATATGTTATCTAGTTTTGACAATAAAAATATTCACGCTATCCTAGTTTCCGAATCGTGGCTTAAGCCGTGTCTACCGTCAACTTCTTACGGACTCCCAGGATTTCATTTGATTAGAAATGATCGTATTGGAAGATGTGGTGGTGGTGTAGCCATATATCTGCGTTCCCATATTCCCTTTTCCATAATTGACTTGTCTCAATCACACGGCAACGCAGAGGCTGAACACATGTTTATTGAAATTATTTTCTCAAATGCTAAAATACTCCTGGGTGTGTACTACAACCCTAGTTTAACAATTGATTATTTCTCTTCATTTGAAATCCTGTTAGACAAGTATAGACCTCTTTACGACCATACTCTGTTGATGGGAGATTTTAATACGTGTCTCTTAAAGAATGACAACCGGGCAAGCCGCCTTCGTGATGTAGTAGATGGAGCCAATTTAAATATACTTCCATTACGTCCTACTCATAAGTTTCCAAATTGCTGTCCCTCGCTCCTTGACCTAATTATCGTTTCTTCCACTGACCACGTAATTAAACACGGTCAGTGCTCTGCTCCAGAGTTTTCGTATCATGACCTTCTCTACCTATCTTATAAACTAAAGCCGCCAAAAGCAAAATCAAGAGTTCTTCTGCAGCGCAATTTTGCTAGTATGGATGTAGAACGCCTACGAGAAGACGCTGAACGGATTGACTGGTCGGTTGTTTTAAAAGCAAAGACCATTGATGAACAATTGTCCATATTCACGTCACTTTTAACTGGACTTTACGATATTCATGCTCCTGTTCGACCTGTCCGAATGAAGCATCTCCCGGCTCCTTGGCTTACCCCAGAGATTAAAAAACTGCAGGTGAAAAAGTACATGGCTAAATCGAAGTTTGCAGCAAATCCTAGTGATAACAATAAAAGGAAATACATCAAGGCCCGTAATCGTTGCAATATGGTGTGTAGAGATAGTCAACGACGCCATATCCATAAATCTGTAATCGACGAAGATGATTCAGAAAAAATCTGGAATTTTCTTAAATCTATTGGAGTAGGAAAGGCACAACAATGTATCAATCCCCTTAATATCGACTTAAATTTGTTAAATCAGCATTTCTCACTTTCTGGTACTATAGATAGTACAAACAAATTAAATACAATTAATCAACTTTCACTTTTACCTACTCCTGATATTCCGTATTTTTCATTTAGTCAATTTTCCATTAGTGATGTTAAGAGAAATATTTTAACTATAAAATCTAACGCGGTGGGCGCGGACAGCATTAGTCGTAAAATGATTGTTCCTGTTCTTGACTTAATAGCTCCTACAATTACATCAATTTTAAATTCCTCCTTACTTTCCCATAAGTTTCCTACTGCCTGGAAAGATGGTCAAGTAATTCCCATTCCAAAAAAGTCTAATCCATCTTCTTTTGCTGACTACCGTCCTATATCCATTCTCCCTTTCCTATCGAAAGTATTGGAGCGCCTTGTGCATCGACAGTTAAGCACGTTTCTTTTTAATCATAATCTTTTAAACTCCTTTCAATCCGGTTTCCGCATCGGTCATAGTACGACTACTGCATTGGTCAAAATCGCTGATGATATTAGAGAGGGTATGGACAGTCAGAAGGTTACCGTGATGGTACTATTAGACTTCAGTAATGCCTTTAACACTGTTGATTTTGATATACTAATTGCCATATTAACTTCTCTTAACATATCTCCTGAGGTGATTGACTGGTTTCGTAGTTACTTGTGTGGCCGCCGGCAGCGTATACGAATTGAGGATTCCTTTTCTGATTGGAATACGATTAATGCCGGTGTCCCACAAGGTGGCGTGTTGTCTCCTCTCCTGTTTTCAATTTTCATTAATTCTATTTGCCATCAAATTTCTTCTCTCTACCACCTATATGCCGACGACCTACAAATTTACGCAACCACATCTCTATCAGACTTACCTCATACAGTTAATTTAATTAATAATGATCTTGCCAGAATCTCTGCTTGGAGTAAATCATATGGCCTTGATATTAACCCTATTAAATCGCAAGCTATTATAATAGGCAGCCAGAAACTGCATTCTAAAATTACTCGGTCATTGATACCATCGGTGATGTTAAACGATGTTGAAATTCCTTTAACCGAAACAGTAAAAAACCTAGGAATCATTTTTGACCAGCATTTATCCTGGGGGCCCCAGGTAAGTGTACTGAGCCGCAAGATGTTTGGAGCTGTTTCCTCCCTTCGCAGGTTGAGAAATTTTCTGCCTGTACCTACTAAAATTGCGCTGGCAAATTCACTTTTATTACCAATACTTGATTATGCTGATATTTGTTTTCTTGACCTTAAAGAGGAGCACCTGAATCGACTTGAGCGCCTTCAAAATCTTTGCATACGGTTCATATTCGGTCTCCGTAAATATGACCACGTTTCTCACTTTCGCAAAAAACTCAAGTGGCTCCCAATCCGCTTTCGCAGGAATACTCACATACTTCATCTCCTCTACTGCGTGCTGTTTAATCCTTCTACCCCTTCCTATCTCAAAGAGCGTTTCGAGCTTCTAAGGAATTCTCATACTCGTTCCCTGCGTTCTAGTGAAACGCTTATCCTCAAAATTCCTTCTCACTCCTCTTGTTTTCTTACCAACTCCTTTTCTGTGAAAGCTGCACGTCTATGGAACTCTTTACCAGTACACATCAGACGGGCTGATAATTTGGACAAGTTTAAGATGATGTTAAAAACGCATTATTTATCTCTTTAGTTGGTCTTACTATAATATATTATGTACAATATATTTGATATTGTATGTATCTTATATGTATTTATTTGAAATACGTAACTTAAATACTGATTATATTTTTCTATTATACTGCTTGTATGCATATATGTTTGTATGTATGTATTTGTGTATGTATTTATGTATGTATGTATGTATGTATGTATGTATGTATGTATGTATGTATGTATGTATGTATGTATTTATGTATGTATGTATGTATATATGTATGTGTATAGGTATGTATTTATACAAGTACACCGCCTACCATTTTTATATACTGATTCCTCTACCCTAAGGTTGCCTGGAAGAGATCGCTTTTAGCGATAAGGCCGCCTGCTGTGCATCTTTTTATTGTTATGTATTTCACTTCTTTATTTATTTTCTTGTGTGGTGTGCAATAAAGTGTTCATTATTATTATTATTATTATTATATATACATATATATATACATATATATATACATATATATATACATATATATATATATATATATATATATATATTATATACGTGTGGTTCAAATTTTCGTCCAAATAATTTTAATAAGTGCGTACGCACAATTTAGTTGCAAAATTAATAAAGTTATAAAATAAAAATATACAATAAAAATAAAGATAATAATTTTATTTTATTCATATTATATATTGTATTTTATCTAATATATTTATAAAATTGCCTTTTTTTAATATATTTATAAAATATTCTTTCCAGTTAGTTGAAGTGTATGAATTAATAGCAAATATCAAGTTCCATGCTCTCTAAAATTATAAGTACCAGGGCGACACAGGTTTGTTATGCGTTTTTTTGGATAAGATATAAAGATTGGGGTTTTCTCAGAAAATTCGCCTGTATAGATAAACTTAAAAAGAAAAAGCTTATTTAAATACAAAATTTGATTGAAATTGTTAGAGCTTTTCTGAGATACAAGAAATAAATTTATGTATAAACACGAATTGCTCATTTAATATTATAAGTTAATTATACATCTATACGTATAATAAAATTGTAACTAAGCCGAATCTGTACATTAAATATTTTTTGGAAAATCTTATTAAAATAAACATTGTTATCGATAAAGAGGCCGAATCTATGGTTTTTAGAATTTCTATCTGCCTGTCTGTCTGTCTGTTACCGCATCACAGAAAAACCACTGGAGGGATTCTGATGAAATTTGGCGTGGTGATAGCTGGTTATCCGGGTTAATATATAGGATACTTTTTACCGCGGGAAACTGTCTTAAAACTGCAATGTAAGAGTATACTAATATGTAAAACCTAAGAATTTGGTTCTAGGTCATCTGACGCGGCGGAGTCGCGGGCAATGCTAGTTTGATATAAATATACAATAGCTTTTAAAATAGAAAAAAATAATTGAAATCAACCCCTAATATACCACCTTGACGAATGATAATTTACTAAAACACTATTTCTTACCAAAACCATATGAATTTTCATGTCCATTAATAATTCATGAGTGCATACAAAGTTTCTTCCACTTTTTCGAGCGGAACCCTAAAATAAAAGTTGCTTATGTTATATCCTTATAACAACGGCTATCTGCCAATGAAAGTCCCGTCAAAATCAGTCCAGCCGTTTTGGAGATTAGCCAGAACATACAGATTTTTTTTTAAATTGTGTTTTCTTTTAAACACCGTATATAATTTCATATACATTTAGTAAAAAGCTGTTATTTTGACATTACAAACAGACACTTCAATTTTATTTATCTGTATAGATCGATTGGTTCATACAAACTTTCATCCACTTTTTGTCTCTTTATATTATATTTATATTCAATTTCTAAAGTGTTTTATTTAATTTTGCAACTAAATTATATATTCCTCATACATGAATCTGCCAAACGTACAAACAGACGGAACATTCCTATTTAATTTATTGAACATCGATCAAATTTAGCTAATAGTATAAATTTAATACGTTTTTTTATAATTTGGTCATTTCGTATCGACGATATGAAGGGGCTCGGTTTAAATATGTTATGAATAAAATATTTAATTATTATAAGGGTTGTTTTATTTTTTAACCGACTTTAAAACAATTAGTTAAAACGAAACGTATGTATGTATATTATTGGTACTGTTATTATTTAAATAATATATTTTCATATACTCTACCAGCGACTCGCCCTTTGCTCGGGTTCGTCCCTAATACTGCCGTCATAAGAAAGAAGGCCGTAACTAATAATTTGGTTAAAAATGACTTAAATGCAGATTCGGAGGACAAGTGCGAGACCGGGGATTTGAACCCCCTACACTCGTTTTCCCAAGCGAGCGCGTTACCACTGAGCTACCATTGGCTTATTTTTTAACATTTGCATAAAAGCTAACTCTAAACTAGAACTGCAATATTATGATTAAACATTGATCGTGATAATATCTTTATAATTATGTAGTCATAAATTCTACAAATAAATATAGTTTTTAATTTTTTAATGTATGTATACTAATGTTATAATATATATAATAATAATAAATATGTTGGGACATTAACACACAGCGCCATCTAGTTCCATGGTAAGCTACGAGGCTTGTGTTACGGATACCGGATAGTTGATACACTACACATATATAACTTTAAATACATACATATTATAAATATAAACACCAATGACTGGAGTACAAACATTCGTGCTTATCACACAAATGAATGCCCCCAGCGGGACTCAAACCCGCGACCGCTGGCATAGCAAATAGGGTCACTACAAACCGAGCCAAACGTGTTGTGTTGTGAAACTGAAGACTGTTTGTTTGAACACGCTGTTCTCTGGAACTACAGTTGGTCTAACATCACACTTATGATTTTAGACCAACTGTAATAAGTATAAGAGAAAATAAATTATTTTATCAGTTCCAGGTTTAAAGCAGCGATGGAAACACTTCAGAGACCACTACCATAAAAAGAAAAAACAAACACAAAAAAAGACCAAATGGAAATATATGCATTTACTTAGCTTTCTATCACAACATCCTAAAAAAGATGCACTACCAGAAAATAAGACTGAAAAAAAAGAAATGGTACAAAAACTATCGACAGCAGCACACAATGAATCCTCAGATTTTTCAAATGTGTCTGAGTTTGAAAACGAGGGAAGTGAATCTGCTTCTTCAACGGGAAGTTTTAGTTACAAGCAAGCAGAGTTGCTGCAACCAGAATTTGCGACTACAACTAAGCATTTAGATCCACCCTATGAAGAAGCCAAAAATCAAACAGACCACAAACACGCTCAAACCATTAAAGAAAAACAAGAATTACAAAGATTTCTTCCATACTTCCAAAGACTGGTAAGGGATCAGGTATTAAAGTCATATTCACAACCTGGAGCTCTCACTCTATCCAGTCCAAATCTCAAATCTTCGGAAAGTCAAACTAGAGAAATGTCTATTGACACGTCTTTGGGACTTCATGCAAATTCTAATAATCACGAAATACGTAAAAGTACAACAACAGAACCAACTTTAGTACCAGGTGTTTTTGGGGCAAACTCTGAAGCCAGTGGAAGTAGGTCAGAAGTAGCGAAAACTGCGGAATTAATTGATAGAACTCGCAAAATTTCCTCAAGCCATGGAGACGATTTTGACGGATTACAGATTGATCAGTTAAGGAACCCTACGATACGTAAAAGACCATCTCCAATCGATCCAGTTCATCGATTTTACGACGCAGTTGCTGAGATTGTTTCAATGTTTCCACCACACTTGGTTTCCGAAGCGAAGCTCGCAATTCACAAAAGCATGATGATGTTCTCCTAGCCGATTCCGGCTACGGCGGCCAATCTCATTGAGATTAGCCAACTACGCAGGAGATATTATAGTGCTCAAGTGTACGCGCAGACACAAGTGCACTCTCTATTCCTATCACTCTCATACTCCGGTGGGACGACCACTTGACACGACCGGTGAGAGTGTCGGCGCAGGACCGACGGCTTTACGTGCTCTCCGAGGCACGGGGGTGAAACATCGCCAACTTCCCAACTCCGGGCTGTTACTGAGATTTACTATACAGAAAGACTCAATAACTAAACTTGGCCCGACCCGGGACTCGAACCCAGGACCTCCGGGTGTGCAGCCGTACATGCTAGCCACTACACCACCGAGGCAGTTATACCAGATTGAAAGAGAGTGCCTTGGCTTAATGGACGACGACGATTTATAAGTTATTTTTATAATATAACCAGGGTTAAACTCATCAGGAACAAGGAAGAATTAGTTTGGAAAGAATGTTTATTTGTTAATAGATAGAATTATGTGTCGATTTGTTATTGAAGTTTGTGTAAAATTAACAAAAGATATGAGATAGAGACCAGAAAAGTATATTGCGCTTGTGGTTTCCAAAAATATTTGAACTAGAAGAAAACGAAATAATACGCTCAAACAGCAAAGCGATCCCCATAGAATCTGGGGACCCATGTTTACCATTTCGCTGTGGAATGAACTCCCTGCTGAGGTTTTCCCAGAGGGCTACAGTATGGGGTCCTTCAAAAGGGGAGTAAATAGGTTCTTAAAGGGTCGGCAACGCGCATGTGATGCCCCAGGTGTTGCAGGCGGCCTTAGGCTGCGGTAACCGCTTACCATCAGGCGGGCCGCATGCCTGATTGCCACCGACGTGGTATAAAAAAAATACAGGGTTGAAAATTAGCTATAAAACCTATAGTTTCGAGCGGAAAACCCGTTCATCCTAAGCATGAACAAACATCCATACATCCATTCTCATTTCGCGTTAACAATATTAGTAAGATATTACAGAAATACTTTTTTAAAACTATCAGTTATTCTGTTGTTAAATTTGTTATTTTTCAGAGAAAAATCAAACAAAAGTGTGATCTTAGTTTTGTTTATTCATTATATTATATAAAAATATGCAATCTTCGAATGAAACTCGCAACTACAGTCCTATTGGCACATTTTATCTACAATATACATTTGACCGAACATATCTTAAAAAAGAGGTTTTATTCTAAAAATTTCGTGCGAATTAAATAATATTATAATGACTTAATGGAACATATATTTATGTTGGCAACATTGGAATGGCCAAAAGCTTTAAATTAAGTAACATTCTTAGTTTAAATTGGAATGACAAGATTTTTTTTATATGTGGGTCCATACATTAGAGCCAGTTAGGTATATATGACATTGTATATCTCAGAAACATATAAACAAATCGTATCGCAATCTCTCCCGTGACCATGATTGCTTAAAGCATTCGAAACGTCAGAAGCCAAAAATCAAAATAAATATTATGTAAACACATCGATCGATGGTTCTCCTCCATTCGAAAAAGCTTATCAAAATATGTTAAGCAATTTAATTTTAATCATGTGATGTCATAAATAACAAAATGGCTATCCAGCCAATGTGTGGAACCAGCTTTATTTTTTGAATACACCTCTAAGTACTTAAATGAAAATATGTTACTTTTTCTTAATTATAATATTTAATATGTTTTAAGCTTAGGGTCGTACATTGTAGATTTTTATTGTAAACATATTCCATACATTTTATGTTGAAAATAAATAAATTGACATCCTTAGAATGATCATTAAAACCGTATCTTTTCATATTTTGTAAAAAAAATCGAATTATACATACATACAGATAACAAATAGTATTTACTAAATATATTACGAATATATAACATTTAGTGAACAAATTAAAAACCTACAACTTCCAACGGCTGTAGAAAAAAAATCTCAAATAACATAATTTTTCTCATATAATTTTAAATAAAATTTCAATATATGAATATTTAAATTACGAAAAATTATTCGCTAATATGTGCTTTAATTTACAAATTTAAATGCTAAGAGGAATGCTTGAATAGCTTTAAAACGACATAAATCAATTTTGTTTTTAAATTCAATAAATATACGAATGAAATAAAAAAAAAGTATAATAAAGGCACTTGTAATCACCAAATTAATATCACATATTAAATAATAACATTTGGCACTAAAGTGATCTAACTCAAAATTTTAATTTTCCAGTTGTGACATTATTCTTTCGAATGTATTTTTTTAAATAAATCGTTTATGACTGATTTATTATATATATATATAAAATATATATATATATATATATATATATATATAAAATATATATATCCTATAAAGATCTTTATTTGACATTATTATTTTTGAAATAAATCACTTTAGCTCTTTAGGTATGTAAGGTATAAGAAATGTTGGCAACACTGGTTTATGAAGTTGTAAGATAGGGATAAACACACAATACAGATAATATAATGAATTAGATATATTTATTAAAATAAATCGAATTTCAATGGCCATAAAATAAAATCTTTATAATATGAATAATAAAAAAAAAATGAAATAATATACGTCTTTTAAACTTATGTTAGACCTATTTCGATAAAACTAAATGCATATGTAAAAATAGGAATGTACAACCAATGTTCTTATATATGTAAAATATGAAAAATATATAGAAAAAAAAAAATACTGTGACTATGAAACACATTATATACAGGATGGTTTATATGTGAAGGATCATAAAAAATTTATTATTTTTTAAAGTACAATATTAACACATATTTTTTTATGATTTTATAGCTTTATTAGGATTTATCATTTTTTTAAACGTTTCTTAGACTACTTATTCTAAATTTATTATGTCATTATACATGTTAAACTAATTATCGAATTTTTTTTTGACGACCATTCAAAATACACGAAAGAAAGTGACCCATTTATAATTTCTAACCATCCTGTATACATAAATATATAAAAACATCTCTAAAGACATCAAATGACTCAAAATACGTATTTTATAAGCGAGTACAATTATTTCTTACCGCCCAAAGATTCGAAGAAGTTGACGAATTTGTTGACACCAATATTTTTTGGTAAATCATCTTCGGGGGGATCATTCGCTCTGATAACATCCTTGGGATTGATGTTGTTGTTTTGAACCATCTTGATTTCGTTCGAGGGACGCGGTTTTCTATCGGAATTACCATTAAATTCAACGCCATTGTGAGGATGCTCGAATTTCTCTTGAATTTTACCGATATTCACTCCAAAATCTTCAGTTTCTGTCACTTTTCTTTCAGACTGAACGAAATTTACTTTTTCTTTCTCTTCTACTATATTCACTTTTTCTTTTGCAACATTTATCTTTTCTTCTTCAACTTTTACTTTTTCTTCTTCGACACTCACTTTTTCTTCCTCAACTTCTGTCTTATTATTTTCGATTGGTTCAGTTTGAATATTATCTTGCTTGTGTTCACTTTCTGCTATATGAACCTGTCCCCCAAAATTATCATGAACATCGACTAGGACTTGGGTCTCTGTAACTTCTTCTCCATTAGTAACTGTCGTCACTGTAGTAATAATTGTCTCTTCAACTATGACTGGACCAGTTGAATATTCAAACTTTTCTTCTTCCTTATCAACTTGGTCCCATATTTTAAAATATTTACTATACACATCTTCCCACAATTCCATTTTTTCTTTATCAGGGTTCGTACCGAGAGATAGTTCGTTGGATATGTTCAAGTAATACAGGTTGTCTTTGGTTATCGGTAACCAGGTTACAGTTAAGTAGTGGTTTTCATCAGGTGTTGGGTTGCTAGAATTAGAAATAGAATATGATTGATCAAAACGGTAGTTCATTTTAAATAAATCTAAAAAAGTATTACGGTAGATCATATTAGGTATTCACGCTATGTAATATGCTAACTAAAGAAAATGGCTAAAAGTCCATGAAAAGATACAGTGGTATATAGATGCAATAAAATTAAATAATTATTGGCATATTTTACAAATTGAGAAAGATTATTTTTTGAAATATTTATATTCAAAAGAATAATAGAATAAAACCTTATTTTAATTCCAAAATATTATATGTATTTCGAAAAGTTAAAATTATTTATTTAGTGTATCACTTACCCAGACTTAGCAAAATTGGTCCATAGTCTCAGCATTCTCTCCCTCGTCTTCTCATCTTGTGGTGAGACCTCTACACCCTTTTGCAAATCATTCTTGAACAAATAACCTAGTTCATCCATATGACTAGCCTGTTTTAAATCTAAATGTTTGAATAAATTGCTAGGCAAATTGAGCGCTCCCACATAATCAAATTTGTAGTAATAAACCGGTTTGTTTGTAACATTTATTAAATATCTTATGTATCTATGCATGTTTATGTTAATAAGCATATCTGAAACTAAGTGAAATTTATCACTCAGACTCTCTACACTCGTTGGGTTTCCTTTAAAGTAAAATCCTTTTATTTTCTCGGCTATTTCTAGAGACTGTGGTGTATTTCTTTCTATATTCAAATCTTTTGGGATGAAACTTTGAAGATCGTCTGAGCCAAAGTCACCAGCAAATTCGAGGGTTGTTGTGCCAATCATTATCGGAATATTAGCTACTCGACCAGATGTCAGGATGTTGATAAAAGGCTCTGTCATGAAGGCTTCTACTCCATTAAACTCTTTTTCAACGACCGGGACGAATGATGTTTCCAAATTTTTCAATCTTCCTTCAAATGGAAACAATTTCTCCTGCGCCTCAATTAGGTCCTTTAAAGGTGTCGTTGTCAGAAACTCCAATATTTCACCAATATCTGATGACTCACAACCTAACTCTTCGGCTATAAGTTTGGCATTTTCAATCGGTTTTTTCTGAATCGCCCAATGGCTTAGGGCGCAACCGGATTGAACGATCCCTTTATTTATAAGGCTTTTAGACATTGGACTTGCTGTGAGTAGAGAGACTATTGCACCACCAGCACTTTCTCCGAAAACGGTGATGTTTCCTGAATTACCACCAAAACTCTTGATATTTTGGTGAACCCATCGCAAAGCTTGGACTATGTCTTTGAGACCAGCGTTTCCTGGTACTTCTGGAGTGTTCAGGCATAAAAAGCCTAAAGCTCCAACCCTGTAGTTGATAGTAACTACGACCACGTCTTTTTCCACTAAATAATCACCGCCATATAAACTGGCATTGCCTGATCCAAACTGAAAAGCTCCACCATGAATGAAAACCATGACTGGAAGGAATTCCCCATCAAGATTTGGTGTGTAAACATTTAGGAAAAGGCAGTTTTCATCGCCTATATACTCTTTGAGGAATAATGGTTCTAATTGAGCTGAAACGTTGCCTTCTGAAGTTGCATCGCGCACTCCTTCCCATGGTTCAGGAGGCTGTGGTGCCTGAAAAATTTAAGAAAAAGTTCGGACATGTTATATAAGTGGAAAAACCTCTAAATTTAGTGAAATGACATAAAACACATTACGTGCGATGATTAGATTAGATGTGATAAAAGTTATTCTCATAGCTATATAAGAGGGTTAGTCACCTCAAAGGTATTTAAAAATGTTCATGTTTGGAAATTTGTTAACAATGATGGAACGGAATGAATTTTCAAGATAAATTTTCAAATTTTTATTTAAGTTTATGTACTAATAATATTTTCATATATGAAATAATGAGGACATGATGTTGTCCACCTTTCGGTAATTTTAATTAGAATTAGGTTTTTTATTCCTGTATTATGCGCGAATACACTTGCAATAACACTTTATTTTCATTTTGGAACTGAACTCTAGTGAAAAAACTAAACGAGATGAATATACTAATATATTTAAGAAAATGTTTGTACATCTGGATACTTCTATACATATGTATACATATAAAAATCAATCGCCGGTCGTTAGTCTAGCTAAAACTCAAAAACGGCTGGATCGATTTGAATAATTATTCTTTTGTTTTGTTGGGGGTGTCAGGGGTGGTTTAAGTTTATACTTTTTTCAAAGTTTTTTCTCTTTATAGAAAAAATAGGGAAAACCCAAAAAATCTGCTGGAAAATCGAAAAGTTTAGAACCGTTCATTTTAACTAATTTTGTAGCGATTTATTAGTCTATCATTCCATACTAACCCTTAAAACATTCCTAGGGGCGAGCCCAAACGAAGCGAGGGTGAGTCACTACTAAAAATTATTTTTATTTAGCGCGGGGCCACATAAGAATTATCATAAAACAAAATATTTTCCACCTGTCTAACTATAAATATATAGTTTGGCCGATGAATAATAATTTGGCCACAATATTCGCAAAAGATGACATTTTGAAAATTCCTTCTTTTTTGTTTTTTTTTATGATTTACTTATAATTTTACAATGGACCCACAAAACTGTATGCGCAGTTTGTCTGTGGGATCAGAGTCTCACAGTTAGTGATCTAACATTATATTCATACATTTATATATATATATATGCATTCGAAACGTCGGGAACCAAAAATCAAAATAAATCCGCGAAATAATCCGAAAAGATAGTTTTATTTAATAATATATATATATATATATATATATATATATATATATATATATATTACATTATGATAATTTTAGTATATTTAATTACGTTAAGCTGTCCATATAATATTTTTTTTAATAATTTGGCGAATTTACTTTTACTTGGTTCAAGTCTAATATCAGCGGGCAAACTGTTCATACGGTACGTTGTCATAAGTATTTTGGAAATATGATATCAAACATAAAAATTGGGCGATTCTGTTTTAATAATTTCTTTAGAAAGTCTCTTTATGTAACAATTCAGTTCTAGTTTAGATCTTATCATATCAGTACACTTATCTTTATTTGTTCAGATCATTCGCTATCTCTTCTCACATTGCGCTTGTTTTTTTTTACTCTAAGATTACATTGAAAATTTGTTTCAACTTATTCAAAGCAATGTCTATTTTCTCTCAAAGATGGTTTTTTATAGCTTTCTTGGAGAAATCGGATTTTGGACAAATAGATGGATCAATTTTGACAACTTTCTATATGTATACATATAATAAAATCGTAACTAAGCCGAATCAGTACATTAAATATTTTTTGGAAAATCTTATTGAAATAAACATTATTATCGATACAGAGACCGAATCTATAGTTTTAAGAATTTTTGTCTGTCTGTTACCGCATCACGGAAAAACCACTGGAGGGATTTTGATGAAATTTGGTATGATGATAGCTGGTTATCCGGGTCAACATATAGGATAGTTTTACTGCTGGGGAAATATCTCATCTCTGAGAAATCTATATCTAAACGTTAAAACGTAAGTAGAGACGAATCCGAGCCCGAGCGAAGCGATAGTGGTCGCTAGTCGATAATAGAAAACTAAAAAATGTCGAGATGACGTAATTTGAACACGACGTGTTATTCGTCAGTTACACCTATCTCAGTCTATTATCGATAACAAAACGTAGATGTTACAATGAAATAGATTAAATATCCAAAGTACGGGAATTTCTATGAAATTTTAACTATACAGTTTTGAATGCAATAACGTTTCAAACAATCATGCTTAAATGTAATCTACATGTATAAAATATGTCATATATGTATAGATGTCAACTGCCTCGACGGTGTAGTAGCTAGCATGTACGGCTGCAGACCCGAAGGTCCTCGGTTCGAGTCCCGGATCAAGCCAAGTTCAGTTATTGACATATGTATGTCAAGAAATTCTCAATAATAACCCGGAGTTGGCCAGTTGGCGGTGTTTCACCCCCATGCCGAGGCAGAGTACGTAAAGCCATCGCTCCTGCACAGTTGGCTAGTCTTAGTGAGATTGGCGGCCGTGGCCAAGTCGGTCGGGAGGGCATCGTTATTATAGATATCATATATGTATAGAATATAGATATTATGTATGTATATGACTTACCCTGAACCTCAAAGAACCGATGGGTGGCTTTGCATAAGGTACACCCTGGAAACAGTAAAACGCCTTGCCATTCGGGGAATTGACTAGCTTTCCTTGCAATTCACCATCTTCTACCCTCACAATCGGTGAATCGATCATTCTGCCACCACTGAAAACAAAAAAGTTGAAAAATTAATGAAAATATTTATTTTTATCTATGATATTTTTTGAATTTATGTCATTTATTATCAGCCTTCGGGGACATTTTACTGGAAAAAATGTCTTTGCCCTCCTTTTTTTTTATTTAATTTTTTTTTACAAAGAAAAATGCCAGACGATACAAATCAAAGCACTGTATAGTAAACTATATAAAAAACTAAATAAAAAAAAAACTGACAATCATGAAACAAAAAAAATTACCCCTTAAATAAAACGTACGCTCGGGACGACGATTATGAAATAAATTTAGTGTTCGGAAGACATCTCAAGTGCAACGATATCAAGTCAAAATGAGTTCACTGATGTTTAACAATCACTACTATAAATAAAAGTTTTATCATTTATTATATAATTATTTCAGAGTAAATATAGGCATCTGCTATCATCGTACCAAGAATTCGTAGAACTATCCTCATTCCTCAGTGATATGGTACACGAAGCTCGGTCATCCATATTCTCATATTATAAATGTGAAAGTAATACTTTCTTAGTTTAGAGACTTATGCCAGATTTCTCCAACAATCCATAAGCTACCAGCTACGTATGGGATCCCTAGCTTAAAAGTCTCCTAAACTAGCCCCTAAAATAAATTTCGTTTTACGATCGTCTTTAAGCCCATATTTAGGTGACCCCTAACTGTCGGTGAAACAGAAACTGTCCCCTAGCAGCCCCCTAACCACGCTTAGGGGATCCCTTAAACTTAGGTGACGTTGGTGAAATCGGGCATTAGACAATCAGTCTCTCCCGTGCCAAGCCCATTGAACTTGAGGTCTCTCCCGTGACCATGATTGCTGTAAAGCATTCGAAACGTCGGAAACCAAAAATTAAAATAAATCCGCGAAAAAATCCGAAAAGGTAGAATTATTTAAAATGTAAAAGTAGCTGTCTGTTACCTATTCACGCTTAAACCGCTGAACAGATTTCGAAAAAAATTGGCAAAGACAGATTAGGTACATCCCGGTGACGGACATAGGCTACTCTTGATCCCCGTCCTAGATAACACGAGCGAAGCCGCGAAAAAAAACTAATGAGTTATAAAATAACTAAATAACTTTTCTATCGTACTCTTAAAGTTTCTTTAAAATCAATCTTTAGACGAAACATATCATGTCAAAAGCAAAGAGATATCAACGCGGATTCAAACCCTGGACTTTGCATTAGTTGAGACGAAATATTGAAAGTGCTAACTACTAAAAAGAGGCCATTGAATATTATCAAGGCTCAAAACAAAACATAAGAACATTCCCTAATGATATATTTGGTCATCGAGCGATACCTAATCGTCTACACTATTTGTTTATCGTTAGCGGCATACCTACAGAACATTGACCATACTCCCCGTTGTATATGAACAGTTGATAAATATTTAACTAACTCTGCAACGTGACTTTGCTTGGTTTTTCCATCTTAATACATGAAAAGCGAAAACCAGTCACTGATAAATTCACCTTGGTTTATGGGACTTGAAAATATATACTGTATTTTTAAATTACTACACAAATCCATACTAATATTATAAACGTGAAAGTGTGTTTGTTTGTTTGTTTGTTTGTTTGTTTGTTTTTTTTGTCCTTCTTTCACGTCGAAATACCCATGAGTGGAGTACAAACATTCGTGCTCATCACACAAACGAATGCCCCCAGTGGGACTCGAACCCGCGACCGCTGGCTCAGCAAGTAGATTCTACTAGAACTAGACTTGCTACAATAAGAAGTCACCTTTTTGCAATAATACTTTGTGTTGTTACATTTACGCCAATTTTGTACGCAAATATAAATGCACTTTATTCCTTTCATATCTCAACTCCATTCGGCGGCCGGTCGTAAATCTTTTGCCAAATCCTATCAGCAGTATGGTATGGTATGGTAGGGTCGGGGCTGTTTTCCGCAACTCGACGACTAAGAGAAATCCAAAAATTAAATATCATAAAAATTGGAACGCGGTCGAACGGGATAAAAAGTATCCTATGTCCTTCTCCTGGCTCTAAACTACCTCCCTGCCAATTTTCAGCTAAATCGGTTCAGCCGTTCTTGAGTTATAAGCGAAGTAACTAACACGACTTTCTTTTATATATATAGAAGCGACCAATGATGATATATCAGGCGCAGGACGGTTTATGTGCTATCATAGGCAGTAGGATTTATCACCAACAATTTCCCAACGTTAAGCTGCTACTGAAGATGTCTTGTAAGAAAATTATAATGGCTATATTTTCCTTTATCCGAGACTGGGTCGAACCCAGGACCTACAGGGTTTACACTACAGCTGTACATTCTAACCACTCCATTAGCGATGCAATCGATTAAATTATTATACTCGATCTCATTTCAATAGTTATCTGCAGTAGAGTAATATCACACATGAACATCTGTACGTACTCAGATAATCTATAATCTCCGATCTATCAACTCTCTTTATAAGACTCGCACGAACACACACAAACTAAAACACACACTTTTCCATATATATATATATATATATATATATATATATATATATATATATATAAATATATATATATATATATATATATATATATATATATATATATATAGACAAAGACGAAACAGTTCAACACGTTTTCTCCTATTTGTCAAACGATTTTCATTAAGTGTTATCAATAAAAAGAACTTGGAAACATATTTTTTTTATATCTAACATCTCTCTATCCATATATGTATGTATGTTTTTCTCCTAATAATGATTATGGTCGAACTTCGACCACTGGACGGACATTAGTATTATTAATTATATGTAGAAAAGTAACGTTTATGACATAACCACTTACCAAACAGTTCAGAACACAGAGTTACACACTCAACTCAAGCACACGAAAGACTGAGCCGAATCACGAGTCGATACGAGATAAGATTGTGATGTCGCGATATTTATCATTATTTGTCATTATTTATCAGATTCACATAGTTTTTGACAATAAATAACAAAAAATCTATAGTCTATGATTGTGTTGGTAATATTATCTTATAGGTTTTAAGCTTATAGGTAATAAAGAACTAGCGGCTCACCCTCGCTTTACTCGGGTTCGTCCCTAGGTACGTTTGTACGGTTAGTATGGAATAGATAGTCTATATATTAGTACATATTTACATACATATGATGAATTTTATATATATTATATTTTCTTCATTATATTTTCTTCATACAAACTTTCATCCTACTTTTCAACCCCTGAAAGGACGAGTTCCGACAAAAATTATCCTATATTCTTCCCAAAGTCTCAAACTATCTTCATATCTAAATCGCTTACAAACAAACATTAAAAAAACCTTTTTTTCTCATTATAATATACTAGAGACTCACCCTCGCTTCGCTCGGGTCCGTCCCTAGCTCGCTTCCCAATACAAACTTTCATTTCCATTTTAACCCAAGAAGGGATGATTTCCTGGATAAAAATATCCTATGTCCTTCCCACGGTCTTAAACTATCTTCTTACCAAATTTCATCTTAATCGGTTGAGTAGATCCAGAGATTACCCCCTACAACGTCACAAACTCACAAACTTTACCTCTTTATAATATTAGTATAGATTAGTATAGACATAGGAAAGGAATCCTACGTTCGTATTGATCGTTATTATATAAAATTTTATTTATGACCATCAACCGTCTCTTTTGGGCTTTCTTTGACAACATATATATATATATGTCTCAGAGTTAAGAAATGGAGGTCACTTATAAAACACATATCGCTCTCGTCTACACTTTAATACGTTTCGTTCAGACAAGTTACAGATAGTTTTAAAATCGGTAATATATCACACGGAAGGAAAAATATTATTTTTGTACCTATTGTTTTTATTGTAGCAATTTTTAATTTGGACTTAAAAATTTGACCAATCACAACGATACATAATATAGAATTAGTGATATTATAATAGATAAAAATATGTCTTCTTTAACGCAGTATTATACTCGTAGTTCTTCTCCGTTGTAATTGTTATTGGCATAGTTAGGTGCTCAACTTGCCTACGTCTAAAAGCCACAGAATAAAGAATTCAATTCAATACAATGATTTTGTATAGGGATAGTATATGGGTCAAAAAGTAGCGCAGCCCAATTATAATCCCGGTATATTAAATTGTTCCCGTGGGATATAAGTCTTTGGTAAAATGTACCAAGATATGTTATTAGCACTGTATAAAAATCCATAGAGTAGATGAGAAAGTAGCGCAGCCCAATTATAATCCCGGTATATTAAGTAGATCCCGTGGGATTATTAGCACTGTATAAATGATTTTAATGGAAACGCTCTTAAATGCAAGGGTTGTCAAAAAATATTAATTTTTAAGGTTGACTATAGTTGGATCTCGCGGCAAGTTTGTGATACCCGATAACCCTAAGTCCGTTTCCCAACTGTCATGTAAAAGTAATTATGCCAGTCGGGAGCGACTCCCCTCGCACGCGCCTCAAGTTCTGATGTCTATATATATATATATATATATATATATATATATATATATATTATCTTACCAACGTAACATCTTGTAACCCACTGGAATATTTCGAGATGTAGATTCTAAAAGGTACCGCTTTCGAGCAGTAACATCAACACCCTCTTTACTTATTTGATACACATGTATATTTTTAGTCAAATCTTCATTGAGTGTCGTCCACACGTCTTCTTGGTAGGGGTTATTTTTGACAAAGTTTGAAATTTTCCTATTAACAGGCTTTTTGCCTAAAGACAACAGGTTTGATTCCCGAGCCAATATATAACGTAAGACAGTTCTTTTTAATATGTTAAAGTCCTCGAAGGTTTTGGCCATAGAGTGTTATAATTTTGTATTAAAACTACCGTCTTCCTGCGGCTTCATTTAATCGTTGATTTTTATTCCAAATTTCAATAAGTTATATCAGATGGCACGGTATAAGTCGGAATGGAAAATATATCGATCTCTATTCAGCCTTTTTTATATATTTTGCGCAAACTTAAACTTACGCAAAATATTTTTAAACTTTTTTTCAATGTACAAAATTGATACAATTAGGTACTTGTTAACTTCATAATAATTTCAAAAATAGTTTAACAATTCAAAATCTTTTGAATACTCTTGGAGGGTGGCTGGTTTTCAACGATTTGCCTAAAGAAAATTACGTATAATTTGGCTGGTCTTATAACATATAAAGGTTTTATTATATCTATATATAATAATATATATGTATAGATATAATAAAATCGCAACTGATCGCTGACTGTACATGGATTTTTTTTAAGAAAAACTATGATTGGGTTTCATGAACGCAATAGAACCCAAAACAATGTTTTTTAGAACTTTTGTCTGTATTGTAGTAAGTTTCACTTAACATTTAGTATTTGTTTTATTTCAATCGGTTCATAAAAGAAAAGTTATGTCTATTTATAGAATCGCCTAAGGACGAACCTTAGCGAAGCGAGAAGAAGTAAAATCTCTAAATTAGTTCGTACAACAACTTAGTAGTAGTTCTAACATCAGTATGATTTAATTCCGTTGAGGAGACTTTGTACTAAATTATGTAATTATAATTATATATATCAAAGATTAAGTAAACTCAGATTAAAGCTAGTTTACATAATGAATTCAATTCAATTCTTTTGTAAAAGGTTTCAAAGCGTGCCAATTACTAAATGAATATATATATATATATATATATATCTCTAGCTTACGGCATGTAAGTCTGTCTGTCACAATTATCCAAGCAAATGAAACAAATGAAGCCGCAGGAATTTAGTAGTATTCACTCACTGTAGCACGTAAAACTTTATAGTAGAACGATTAAAACGTAACTGAGAAGGTGTGGAAGATTCAAGACCGATGCTCAATTAAGAGCATGGTATCAATTACCAGCACGATAACACTAACTGTAAATATAGTATGAAAAATTATATGGTAAATAAGTTATGTAAGATATGCGTAAAGATTGTGAGATCGACTACTATACTTTTTAGGGTTCCGTGGCTGAAGTGTGGTGTCGAGATCCAATTTTTTTTTATGGTATTCAGTGACAAACAAGCAGACATCCCACCCGATGGAAAGCGGTACCTGTCGCCCATAACACCTTCGTCGGTTCATGCACTTAGGTTTTATGTTACAAAAATACAGAACCGTAGGTGCGTTGTCACTGTGAGGACTGAGATGATATGCCTCTTGCCTTCTTTGAAAAGCCACTGGAGGGATTTTGATGAAATTCGGTATTGTGATAGCTGGTTATCCCGGTCAACATATAGAATACTTTTTACCGCGGGAAAATGTCTCATTTCTGAGAAAAAAAAAAACAAAAACTGCAATGTAAGAGTATACCTACTAATATGTAAAACCTAAGACTTTAGTTTTTGGTCATCTGAACGCGGGCGGAGCCGCGGGCAATGCTAGTGTAAAATAAAATTAAATATTGCATTCTTCAGTAAAATTTTGCACAATTATACTAATTGCTGAAAACTAGCTATTAGATAACGAGTTGTACTGCATATACACTATATACCTACATAGATAGCACTGTTTACATTGTAAGAGTTTTATTAGCTGTTTAATGTTCACCGTGGTTAAAAAGTGTTAAAGTAAAGTCACTCAAATTTATTTTATTCAATGCAAAATGAATTTTGCTACATTTTATGTGTGTCGTATGACGACATACATATATACATACATACATATATCGCTAGTATTATATAAAGTTGACCCCGTTGCGTAATTTTACGTTGGTTTTATATGCTTTTCAAACTCACGGTCAGCGTAATGCAGTCTCGACCGCAGTCTAGCCGAATTGCACTTAAAACGCAGGTCTGACCTCATTTGTACATATATATATTATGAATAGATATATCGGTCGTTGCCTTTAACACAGGTTGCACAATTTTATACCAGTGCAGATGTCCCACCTCTTCCAAAGATGTGCCTTATTCAGGCTATTTTTGTTTTTTTATAGATTTTGTTGAAAATTTTTATCGGTTTCAATTACTTTCCCTAGGGATCCTAATTCCCGTTCTATAATAAAATAAGCCTGAGTTACTCCTTATAACATCAAGCTATCTACCAGTGAAAGTCCCGTCAAAGTTGGTCCAGCTGTTTCGCAGATTAGCCGGAACAAATAGAAACAAACTTATTTTAATTAAACTTACTTGTTAGCTTACTGACAAATATTATAAAATAGTTTTTTTTTCTTATAAGTACCATATGTATATATTACTTTCCTATGTAATTATTAAGAAGCTGTTATTTTGATATTACAAACAGACACTTCTATATTATTTATCTGTATAAGTATATAAATCTATGTATGTATATCTAAGTATAAAAATAAACTTACCGCAGGTCATCTAAGAACTCGTTGACCGCATTTATCATATTGATATATTTATGTTAACTGTAAATAAAGAAAAAAAAAGTTAACAAAAAAAATATATAAAAGAAATAAAAGTAACATAATGACTGAAAGCAAAATATGATTTAAAAAAAAACATTAAAAAAAAGACACAAATATGTCATAATTTAGTGATCAAAGCTTCTATTCCTGCATAAACCAAAATCAGGAACAAAAAAAAAAAAGTTTAATTAAATATCGATATAGGCATCGATGTACTATAGATGTTTGTAGAAATAACTAAAAATCTTCTTCTTAAATATATAAAATTCCCGTGTCACGATGTTGGTCCGCGATGAACTCCGAAACTACTTATCCGATCTGAACGTATTTTTTTTAAACATTTAATTTGTTCCAACTTAAAAGATAGGGTAGTTTTTATCCCGATTTTTCCTTATTTTATTGCAAAATTAACGATTTTCATATCCGGAGGGAGAACTTAAGAAACGGCTACCTCTAAGCTACTGTGAAATAAATAAAATATAAAATTATAGAAATACTAGGGACTCACCCTCGCTTCGCTCGGGTTATTCCCTAGCTTGAATCCCTATACAAACTTTCATCCCCATTTTCACCCCCTTAAAAGATGATTTCCGGGATAAAAAGTATCCTATGTCCTTCCCAGGGTATCAAACTATCTTATTACCAAATTTCATCTAAATCGGTTCAATAGATCCAGAGATTACCGCCTACAACGTCACCAACTCATAAACTTTACCTCTTTATAATATTAGTATAGATGTAACTTTCAGCTTAATGTAAAATCTCCGCCATTCTTTACCAATCACTCTTAACAATATAAAGTATTTTAATTCATGTATAATAACAGTGAACATGTATGATTTATTTTTTATTTTGTATACAAAAGCTTACATTGTTATTAAATATAAAAAAGATATCCAGCTTCAAAAATCTAAAATTTAGTCTAAAAAAATATTTTTAATGTCATACCGATACTTTAAACACCCATCATTTAGCGCGCTCGGCGTGACGTCACAGTATGATACATAGAGAAATGACAACTTAATTTGTTGCGCCAAAATCGCTAATCGCTGTTATGATAATACTCTGACGTCATATTCGGTCTGATCAATGGCGTGCGTTTCAACTACGAATTTTCCACATATATTTGTATCTCTTATATATAGTGATGTATAATCTGTCACAAACATCAATCAAAAAAGTAGATACACAATCAGCGACAAAAAATGTCCTCACCGAATGAGCGCTCATTTAAACATTCAAGCGCGCTTTTGATATTTTTTTGTGAAAACAACCTTAAGCGTAGCATTTAAGGTTCAATTTACATTATTGTATATTTATTTCAACTAGATTAATTAGCTAAAAAGAATTGGCGACAGTTTTAAGAGAACTTTTGCATGGGATTGTGTCTAACATGAGATTTTATAGTGAAGCGCGTATGTGCACAAACTCAAGTTCACTCTCTGTTCCTTTCACTCTCAAGGTCCGGTGGGACGAAAACTCCACAAAATCGATGCGAAGTCACGGCTTTACGTGGCAGAGGGTACACAAAACTTCCTAAATCTTAAATATAAAACCCAATAACTATATTTGACCCGACCCGGAACGAGAACCCATGACCTTCAGAGCATCAATCGTATATGTTAACCATTTTTTTGTCTTTCAGGGTTATATGTCAAGGTGTTCTAATATATTAATCTATAATTTATCCTTTATTGCACAAAAAATTAGTCACACAAAAAATTACATTGAAAACGACGTGGACCAAGGTGGATATGTATACATATAATAAAATTGTAACTAAGCCGGATCTGTACATTAGATATTTTATGGAAAATCCTAATGAAATAAACATTATTATCGATACAGAGGCCGAATCTAATGTTTTTAGAATTTTTGTCTGTCTGTCTGTATGTTACCGCATCACAGGAAAACAACTGGAGGGATTTTGATGAAATTTGGTATGATGATAGCTGGTTATCCGGGTCAACATATAGGATACCTTTTACCGGGGAAAACATCTCATTTATGAAAAAAAAAACCGCAATGTAAGAGTAAACTAATATGTATCACGTAAGAATTTGGTTATTGATAATCTGAACGCGGGCGGGGCCGCGGGCAATGCTAGTGTATGTATATTTTAAGAATTATTTACATTCCAAAGGCTCGAATAATTTGTGCTATAATATTATTTATAAGTAATTTTTTTCTTAATTCGCGGAAAAAAAAGAAGTATTACTAACACAAAATATTTAATCGAACTAAAAACTTCAGCTACTTATAACCAGTAGTTTTAAGCAGCGAATGTGTCAGGAGATGACATCATAAGAACGCTGATTCATTTAGACTCCATTCACTTGATTATAGTAGGGGAGCCCAAGAGGGGATTTTCTGTAGTTACTCGAGCGCGGCAGATTAACATAAAAGAGGTTACCTTGCACTCTATTGAGTACTTTCACCACAATATAAGTCTTCTATATAAAGGGGCGCGTCTAGGGAAGCCGATTAAAATATTTAAAAAATGTTTTGATAAGCCTAAGAGGCAAAAATACTCATAAACTTTATAGTCGATTTTTGCCTCTTCGGCTTGTGCAAATCGGCAGATTATTGAATTGGACACTTTTCAGGATGTGACTAGCCTACCACACCTTAATCTGACGGTTTCAAGTATTTCTACCTTATCAAAACATTTTTTAAATATTTTAATCGGCTTCCCTAGACGCGCCCCGTTATATAGAAGACTTATATTGTGGTGAAAGTACTCAATAGAGTGCAAGGTAACCTCTTTTATGTTAATCTGCCGCGCTCGAGTAACTACAGAAAATCCCCTCTTGGGCTCCCCTACTATTAGTATGAAAGTAGATAGAAATAAATAAATTAAATATGTTGGGACATTAACACACAGCACGATCTAGTTTCATGGTAAGCTACGAGGCATGTGTTATGGATACCAGATAGTTGATACACTACACATATATAACTCTAAATACCAACATATTATAAATATAACACCCATGATTGGAGTACAAACATTCGTGCTCATCACACAAATGAATGCCCCCAGCGGTACTCGAACCCGCGACCGCTGGCACAGTAAGTAGGGTGTCCTCACGATGTTTTCCTTGACCGTAAGGCAAGTGGTAATCAAGTTAGACATGATTCGCATATGAAAATATCGGAGGTGCGAGACCCTGGATTTGAACCCGCTTTACTCGGTTTCTCAAGTGAGCGCTTTATCACGGGGCTACCACTGCTTTTCTAACTCTCTAACTTCATTTTTTTTTAACGTTGGGAAATGCATTTACGCACGAGGTGTGGGACTCACCGGCAAAGCCGGTACTACCCACTAAAACCCAACAAAGCCTTCCCCCGTCTTAATGGGGCGTCGCAGGATCGCTTACGCAACTTCAACTACGACGCCCCGACGGCAGGTCTGCCGAAGCAGACCACAACAACCACGGGGTTGCTCCAAGGTCCACTCTGCTATCAGAGAAGTACCAGGAGCAACCCGCATGGTACACCGCCCTCCGAAGAGGGCCACCTCCCACCGCCCACCGAAGTGGGGCACCTCCCTGTGCGTTTCTTAGCTTATCACGGGGCTACCACTGCTTTTCTAACTCTCTAACTTCATACCTATGTATATTTAACTTGGTCTTTTTTCCAGTAACTGTAAATTCAAATTAATCAAATCAAAATATACTTTTACAATCACTTTTAAATCGTTCATTTTTACATTTAAATTAAACGTCTGTATTTAAGTCCGTGTAGAAGATACCACCGGCTCGGAAGGCAGTTCTGCTGAGAAGATCCCAAGAGAAACTCAACAACTGCTCTTTTTAAATTGTAGGTAATGACATGTACCCTTGAAGTGATTTTTGATATTAGATCAATTAATTATTATAGATATTATTTATAAAAATGTTTTAAGAAATAAAAAAAAAATAATCTAGCCAAGTTCGAGTAAGACTTGATGGATCGAGATCCGGCTGCAAGATTGCTACGATCATAGCGTATTTAATCAAAATCAATTTTTTATATACAATAATAAAAGAGACAATTTAACCGGGGTGCCTTTGAAAATGTCTACGCTAGAATGTTTAATAAAATAAATAATAATTGACTCAATACGATTTTTTTATTAAATACGCTATGAACGTAGCAATCTTGCAGCGGGATCTTAGTCCATGAGTTTTAGCAAAAACATAACTAATATATTCATGTGATGACACACAAGAATTTAGTAATTTTTAATATATCTCTTTATACTATAATAATTTCATTTTGCATTTCATAGCCTATTTATTGAGGAATACAACAGCCTGTCTAATATCACTCTACAACCCTCAGGAGCGCAGTTATTAAATACCTCGTAATATTGAGTGAGCAATTCTTGTGTATACAATATACATATATTAGAAATTTATTTCGTGTATCTCGAAAACGGCTCTAACGATTTAGTTCAAATTTTATATTTAGACTAGCAACTCACCCTCGCTTCGCTTGGGTCGCTTGCTTCCCAATATAAACTTTCATCCCCATTTTCAACCCCTTAAAGGATGATTTCCGGGATAAAAAGTATCCTATGTCCTTCCCAGGGTCTCAAACTATCTTCTTACCAAATTTCATCTAAATCGGTTCAGTAGATCCAGAGATTATTCCATACAACGTCACAAACTCACAATCTCATAAACTCACAAACTTTAACTCTTTAGAATATTAGTATAGATAAAGTTTTCTTTTAAAATTTATCTATATAGATATGTCTTTTCTGAAGAAAAATAACAATTTTGTAGCTCTGCAGCCTTGTTTAGTAAATAAACTAAGCTAGCGGAACTGCAGGCAAATTATAATGATTTTATTTAATAATTAAACTAACAAATAAATTGCCGAGTGCTACTTCACGTATAAGCACATGACCAACAAAACTATCACAATCTCATAACGATTTAAACAGTGAAAGTGTAGAATGAAAATGAAAGCAACTCATGACATAATATATGAT